CAAGTAAATTACCTAGGTGTATTTCAGATTTGACTAATTCTATATATTTTCCATTGAACAATATTCTGTCAATATTTATATCGTCATTCCTGGTTCTATCGTGATTCAGAAAAACAAGTTTACTCTTTTCTGGGTTGAAGTTTACATCATACTCTTGAGCATAATCATTGGCTATTTGCAAGAGTTTTGTCAGGGCATGACGAGATGGCGTAACAAGCGTCACATCATCTGCATAAGCCAGAGCTCCAGTATAAACGTGACCGACATGACAACCAAATTTGCTGTTTCTTAATCGAGACAACAATTCATCAAAATATATACTAAATAAAATTGGGGAAAGAACTCCACCCTGCTTAACACCATTTGAGACACAAAAAGACTGTGTTGTACATTGAGCCCAACGGATTTGAACATTTTGAGTGGTATATAAATTTAACAATAAGCGAGCAATTAACGGGCATATACCTCTTTCGACAAGTAACTTAAAGAGCTTGATAAAATTTAAACGGTCAAAGGCCCGACTTGCGTCCAAATAACAGACAACAACATCTGATTTCTTATTGTGATAATACCTTATAACCTCATTTAAAACAAATGAACAATGTATAGTAGAATGCTTAGGTTTGAATCCATATTGTAAGTCGGAGGAGACGAAAACATTCTTGCTTCTATGTAGTATAATCCAGTCTAAAATTTTCCCTATAATGCTACTGAGTGCAATTCCTCGGTAGTTATCAGAATTATTCAATGACTTTTTTCTATTTTTTGGAATAGATATTATTGTAGATGAGGCAAGTGATGATGGGCAGTATCCATGACAAAGGAGGGCTGTCAAAACTAACGATAAATGTGCATGAAAACTATGAGGGGCATGGATAATATGGTCAGTCGAATGTCCATAGCTACCGTCATTTTTTCCGACCTTTAGATGCTTTATGGCAAGGATGACCTCATCAACCGAGATCTTATGAGAGTCGGTGCAAGAGCTTAATATGAAACTGTAATCAAAAACTCTTGTATTTGTTGTTCTGATTAAAATCATTTAAAGATATGCACAACGTGGGATGTCAGAGTAACATTTAAAGATAGGTTCTGATCAGTTATAGAATTACAAACACAACCAGAGACAATACTAGACGATCAAGGGCTGTTCTAATATATGTAGTAACAAAAGAGTACATGGGTCATACGTAGGATGTGGTGACCAGTTTTGAGGTATGGCCGCTCTCCACAACCCATGGTGCTACATTCCTTCCTTTTCTTCGTTCATGAATTTACAGTCTTAATTTTGATCTAGAATTTGAAATGTTACATTAATTTCCGATTTTAGTAAATGTTGATGTGTTTGCGGTGGAATCATTGTGCTATATCATAATATTATCCTGGTTAATCTTCATTAAGAGATTGATCACATAAAAGTAAACATTTTATAGACAACAAAAGGTAAATTGGGACACTCATATTGTTTGTTTGATATCCTATATCTGTTTAATGTAATTGTCACGATTCTCTCACGTCCTTCGATATGGACAAAAACACTTCCCTGAACGTTGATCAATAGTGTATTTGTATGTAATATAATGTATGATCTATTGACAATATAATTATTGTTATCTCTGTGTACGTCGTATTCATATTCGTTTACATAAGTTCAATGCATAACAAATAAAGATTTATTTGTTAACATCTCGTTTATCTGTGTAAACACTAAGTAGTTGCCTTTATTTGAGCTTAACGTGTGGGATGATAGATTTTTTCTAGTCAGCTTTCGTGTTAGAATTAACCTGATTGTGGTTTTTAGATGGTCTTATGGACAAACTATGATCTAACCGAGTACACACCCAGCAGTGATTCATCGATGTCGATAATAGTTTATTAAATAATGTGAATTAATATAAAACAGACCAAAACAGTTGCTACGTTACCTTGTAAATATCTAAAATGTAGAGCCAGTAACACAACTATGATATTATGAAATAAAATAAAACCAAGTACGAACAATCCAAATGAATAGACAAAATTCGAGTCCTAAAAAAACGGTATAGGCAAAATGGTGTAATAAGGCAATATAGTGTAATCAGCATATGTATCTATCCATGGTCGACATTTTACCTGTTCTACAAATAGACCAGGAAGATAACTCTTCGTGTAAATGAAATGATATGAAATGGGGTTTAGCGTCGTAGTGTTTTGCTCCGAACTGGGCTTATGAAGACGGGCATACGCCATACAGTGTGCTATAGGGGAAATTTTGCCCGGACAGCGGCGCTACGGCCTACTCTTATATCGAATTCCAACTGCCAAGGGATCTTTTACGTGCACGCCAATGTGTACACGGGACCTCGGTTTTTCGTCCCATACGAACGACTAGACAGCTGTCCTCGTCAGGCCCTCCGTCCTGCCTCTTCGTATAAGAACGACCAATAAATTGATATGGTTGGGTAGATATGGTGTTATTGATTGTATACATCTTATCTGGTAGATGTAGTTTACATATCTACTTGACGGGGTAGGGTCGTTTGTAGTAGATTATCCAAGAAAATACGAAATGAAATGAAATGGGGTTTAGTGTCTTACTGTTTTGCTCCGAACTGGGCTAATGAAGACGGGCATACGCCATACAGTGTGCTATGAGGGAAATTTTGCCCGGGCAGCGGCGGTACGGCCTACTCTTATATCGAATTCCATCTGCCAAGGGATCTTTTACGTGCACGCCAATGTGTACACGGGACCTCGGTTTTTCGTCCCATCCGAACGACTAGATAACTGTCCTTGTCAGGCCCTGCGCCCTACATCACTGACAAGGGAGAACCACGCCGGAAAATCTGGATGAATTTTCTCGGCCAATGCAGGGATCGAACACCCGACCTCCAAGCTAGCGAGCCAGCGCCTTACCCACTTAGCCACCGTAAGACTTTGGAGATTCTGCATAGTTTGGCATCTCGTGAACGAATGGATCAAAGCCGGTGCCTTACATGAAGTCCTATATAATAAAATGTGTTTACCAATTTGTAAGTTCATTTATGTTTTATTAAAAAATTATTTTACTTTTTTAAGATATGAAATATTTTTTTACGTACGCGACAATAGGTGATAAAAATATAGGTTTTGTTTATTTCTAAAATCAAATGGTGATGGGTTGGCCACATCTACAACAATAGAATTTGTTTATTTCTAAAATCAAATGGTGATGGGCGTGACTACCTCTGTGGCAATATGCGTTGGGCATAAAACATTGATTTTATTTTTAACTTTACTTACTGTAATATTGTCTTTCTTTATGCATATGTTCGGCTGTGATATAATTTAGCCTGTGTCGTGTAATAAACAACATGTGTGCAATTTCATTTCTCGACCAGCTTAATTAGATGCCTCAAGTTTGACAATGTCCCTAGAGTTTACCAGTAAAAGTAAAATTATTTGGCAATTAAGTGTTTATTATCAGAGCTGGTGAATTTTTCATACAGATCTGTCCTGAATTGTGCTAGGGGCTAAAATTTTGAACATATTACAATTTTCATTAAAGGACTGAATAGAATGTAAAATGACTCTTGGTGACCATTTGATGCTTCTACTAGGCTTGACCACAATTCACGGATAAAATGCAATGGATGTGTGTGACCTTTTCCACCCGTGTGCTGGATGGTCTGCCTTAACTAGAACAAAAGACATGTGATTTATATTTATAGATCTACCTGATAGATATGTCAAGCTGTCCAGATGGGGAGTACAACAGGGTGTGCCACTACATGGACCACTGGTCGAAATTCCATGTATTATTCCCATTGAAGAGAAAGACTGCAGACGAAGTTGCGAAAGGGCTAGAAACCTTTGTCTTCCCTTATTTAGCCCCCCCCCCCCACGCATTCTCCAGTCTGACAATGGCAGAGAGTTTGTGCATAATGTTGTTAAAGAGTCTTACCAGAAATGGAAAGGTAAATATTGTTTTTGTTACATTCAAAACTGATGTTGAAATGATAGGCATTGCAATAGATATTTATCTGTGTCAATATGAAATGAAGTCAAACAACTGATTATCGTTTCTGTTGCATCAACAAAGATCAATTGTTTCTCCATGTTTCCAAAAGGTACAAACGTTTGAAAATGATACAAATATATTCTAATGGCATGTATACAAAATGGATTATTAATGGTTCCTGCTTTTATACAAGTAGCTTAGTCTCTAAATCAGTATCATGCAAAGTTTTCGACATTGAAAACACAAATTATTCGTCAATTTAAATCAATATTGAGAAGGTAATCTTACTGGGAAAAGCAGGGCTGCGAGTAAAAACGAAAACGATTGAATGTAACTCAGTTTATATGCATTCATATTACATTATTATATGCATTGTCACCCATTTAGCTCATTCCATTTTATATCTTGTGTTTGGTTTGTAACACTTCAAGTGATCTTACAAGCAGCATAGTGAATGACAGGCCAAGGCATCCGCAATCCCAAGGCTGTATTGAAAAAGGCAATGACCTGGTGAAGCGGATGATACGGACCCGAGCACAAGACGAACAATTAGAAAACTCAGACAAACCATGGTCCTCTTGGTTGGGGAAGATAATGTGTAAGTTTTAGATGTATTATACTTGTTTAGGACATAATCTGCATTTTCTAAAAGTAACAGTTTTGGGTTTTTTACAAACACATGCCCCAGTCATTCAATGGATAAAGTAATTAGGGAATTGACAGGTGAATACATGTAGTTATGTTGTGGTGGTTGGCCAGTACAAATGTCCTACTGTTCTGCTCCGAAATGGGTCAATGAAGACAGGCATTTTTGTCAATGTTATTTGCAATTTGCATTATGAATTTAACCACCTATAATGCATTAAGTGTAAGTGATGTAGTTGTCTGTGCTATTTGTTGCTGTGTAGCTGGGTTATTTTGCTCTAAATGAAAATTGATGTTATAGATTTCACAGTCTTCCTCCTTTCTGCTTGCTGCTACTATAGACTTAATGATCAAACCATCTTTTCTTTCAGATGATATGAACTGTTTGGTAAGCCCGACGACAAAAAAGACCCCATACCAATTAGTTTTTGGGCAAGAGCCTATGAGTAACATTATTCCGGGATTTTCTTCTGAGACCCTGCTGGAGGAGAAAGATCTTACATAAATAATTCAACCAAAGTGTTTTGATTCATACATCAATTTAAAAGATGACAACAACAAACAAACAGAGCTATCATCAGACGACTTTGGTCTGAAGTTGGAACTGAGCCCAAGCCCAAGCTCAGAAACCAGGCACAGAGCATTAAGAAAGGAGGCAGATATTGACTATCGAAATGCCATCTCAAAGATGAAAGCAAATTTACCACTAAATTCGTGAGTTTGGGATTACGTTTCTGTTAAAATCCCAACAGTAGACAGAGAAATATTAGGCAACACACGACTTCCATGTGTTGTTGTCAAGCATATAACAGAGAAATCGGGAAGCAAAAGCTATGTTCTGAGGTGAGATATCAATTTGACTGATTACACATTTCCATTGAGACATTTACATTTCACTACATCTGTGTGTATGCAGCATGCCACCGGATCTGCGAATACACCCTTAGTGTAATTTTACTCACAAATAGGCTTGACCTGTTGCTCACACAGTTTTTTTTGTAATCATTTCATTTTAAGTTATTACAGGTCCAAGAATGGTGTAATCAATTTGTTTTTAATCATTACAGGTCCAAGAATGGTGTTTTGTCCGGAAAATACACTGACTCGCAATTAGAACATTACACATGTCGTAACCTGGAGGAAATAGATACCAGTGGGTGGGAAGAAGAACAACCAATCCCCCTCAGGAGTGCAGTGAATTCAGGTAAGAAAAAATTATTGATTGGTGATTGATTTTGGCCAAATATGCTCTGTGTATTACTCTTTTGCTGCCATATGCACAACTGATACAAGTTTTTTTTAGTATGTTAAAAGTGATGGAACAAATCATGAATCAGTACCCCAGATTCATAGTATGGTAACCAGAATTTATATTGTGATACATATGATTTTTGGCATGGTGCTATGCATAAATTAAATTGCACAGTCATGCAAAGAAAATATTGTTTTATACGCCCTTATTTTCATGTGGATGTAAATATATATATCCATTGCCCCATTGTACGAAAAATCACTTTTCCAAAATATGAGCCTATGTTGCATGGCCCATATTTTGATGGTGTATTGTAGACAAAAAGTCTTGTACTTTTTACAACCCGAGTTTATATCGTACAGGTGCTATCTTTAATGCCTATAAATTGTATAAATCAATTGCACTCTATAAATTACATTCCCTTAGGCACCAAACCGGTTGTCAAGAAAGCCAAAAAGGTAACGAAAGAAAAACAAACAAGAAAGAAACCAGCACTTAATGGTATGTATAACTGGCACTGGCCAGCTGTATTTTTGGAGTACTGGTACCTATATTTAAAGTATCCGAGTCTCTAATTCAATATCCAAAGAGTTCGACATTGAAAACACAAATTATTTGTCAATTTAAATCAACATTGATGCTGGGGTCTTACCGGAAAAAGATGAGCTTCCGACATCCAATATTTAAGACAAAATAAACATTTTACCATTGGTACACGAATCATGTACCCTAATGCATTTCAGCCCCATTTGTTACAAGGGACCCGATGAACAAGGCTAGACATATTACACCAAATTAAACGGCGTCGTCATTCTTATCTGGAGAGCATGCGCAATAAATACTATGTAAACTGAAATAACCAGATGCTGGAAATTGGCATTTGATTGAGACTTTGGGCTTATTTTGCCGAACATAACTGATTTGTAATGACAGTAAAAACAGAAAAGATTGAATGTAAATCAGTTTACACACATTCATCTTACATTATTATCAATTTTCATTTAGAGCAAAATAACCCAGCTACACAGCAACAAATAGCACAGACAACCCATTTGTGTCACATAGTCGAGTAGGAGGATGACATTTACAATAGCATTTTGTATTGTAACCAAATTTTGTATATTTTATATTCCTTAGGAATCCAAAAAGATGATAAAAAAAGCAAAGTGATAAACAAAAGTAATCAGGCTATAAAGAAACCAGTCCTTAATGGTATGTACAACTTGGGTCAAAGCACTGTCAACATCAACTTTTTAAAAGCCAAATTCGTCGTACATGTATATTGACGTCGCCCCCTTGGTATGCCTCTCTCCGCCGTTAGTGCCATAGCCCCACACAAATGTTGATGGGTGGTCTCTCATACACCAATGGTCATCCCTATTGTTTAGGTGGCATGCAAGCCCCCAGAGGTACGGCAATGCCCATTTTCTCTTTGATCATTCTCTCTTTATATTTTTTGTTTATAGCCTAGTCTCATACCACAGACCCAACACCTAGCCTTCTTTTAATATTATAGCCGTCACAATAATTTCAGATTTCAGTCCCTTCATATATTACAGTGGTAGCATTGCTACTGTTTTAGTACTGCACTGTGTTATTATATTACAAACATGCAGCACCACGTCAATTATGTTGAATTGCCATTGCGATTATTATAAACCTTTTCTAAATAGCAAAATCTCTCTACTTCAGAACAAGAGTTAATAACAACGGCCAAGTCTTTGAGGACACAGACAATGACCTTAGAATACAATCTACCGAGAAGCCTCTTTAGTCTGGAGCAAGCAGAGTCCAGCTGCCCAGTCTATGGTCTTATTATGGAAATGGGGGAATTTGAAGACGACATAGACAGGCTGTCAAACGTGTTGGCCCCGCATATGAATTGTTCTGTGGTAGAATTCCATCTAATAGTATCCATCATGGTACAAGCACAGCAATTGTCAATCCCTGCTGCACAACTAATGGAAGCGGCGTTGGAAAAGCCAAATCATTTAAAACAACTTGTGGCCAAAAAATATTGACATGAAAAAAGAAATTTATGTTAGAGAAAGACAGATCTCCTGTGAAAATTTGCAAACAGTGCAATCCTGTCTAGACGATCAAGTAAGTTTTTATAATTTTATGAAAGTGAAGGTCATTTGATGTTAATGATTTGTATAAACATGGTGTCATTCCATATATTGTATCACAATTAAGGGCACAGAGAATGCTAGGTATCTAATTTTATTGTACAAATACAATACAGAAATTCCAAAAAATATATTTACACATCTTATTTTCCAGTCGCAATCTATACATATGTAAGTATGTAAATAATGAACAATTTTAGCTTCTGCTTATGGTATGCTTATTCCTCCCTCTGATATATATATACATATAATCCATTATAATTTCTGATGTGGCATGTTGGGTGTATGTTTGTTAATAATACTTCTATTTATTCCTTTCCATTATCTTGTAGAATGTAGGTGCATGTGTAGATAGTCGTTTCATTAGTCATTATATTTTAATTATAGTAGTATCATTTTTTAGAACTTTATTCTTTGTCCATCATTCCCTTCGTGTATAAATAATAGTGTATGGTGATAACCATTATAGATCTTGCTTGAAGTATCTATAATCATATGTATCTTTAGCAAATTTAACACTGGAATTATGTCAATCTAAACAAGCTATGGCAATGTGATGAATAAATCCTATTTCACCTTAAATTCGCTATCAAAAAACATAATTCAAGTTAAATACTAGATTCGTTTAGCTATCATTAGAGACGAATTATGTCAGATTTTGATAAAGAGCTGACTGTGTTGCTATGATACATGTAGTTAAAAATAGATAATGACTGAATATATTAAAAACTTAATCCAAATTACTTTATTCTGAGAGAAGTTATGGATGTTTGCATAGTCTAGAGAGTCCATTACAATTACAGGCTTCTCATGTTAATAAATGTCAGACAAAAAAATTATTAAACATTTAAAAGCAGAAAAAAAGACCTGCAACAGGCAGATTTCGCTTTTACTTAACATCGTTAAAATATTTTCGGTTCATGTTTTACAGGTAATACATGCTTTCCTAGAGCTTTTAGCAGTTAGCAGCCCCAACAGAACTCTAATCTTACCATGCTTTTTGGCTACCAAGTGGTGTAGTGGAAATTTTGATTGGTTGTACTTAAAGGTATGGACATGATACTACAAAAAGATGCCACATAAGTACTTTGTCCCCGTTGATGTGTCTTGACTCCTTAATTTAAAATAGGAGAATGCACGAGATAGTAACCTGTTATGGCCTCTCCATATTTCTATTTGCAATGTCAAGAACACTTGACTACAACTAATATTGATGTATGACAACCAAGGCTCTTTGTGAATACCATAATACCCTTTTTTTCTAATATTTTCAGAAGAAATGCACGACATTTAAGTATATCATGGTACCAATCAACACTGGCAACCACTGGATCATTTTGGTAGCCAAACCAAAAACAAAAATAGTTTCAGTTTTAAATTCACTTTCTTCGAAGAGTGTAAATAAAGAGTATATGGAATATTGGAGGTTAGTTCGAATACACATGTAGTTCAAATACATACATTATGGCATCCAACTTTCTGAGGTACCTTAAACTCCCATTGCGTTATTGGCATTTTTATATTACTCACAGATTAATCCACCTGTAGAGATACACGTTTCACAATATTGTCGTTTGCAAGGGATTATATGGAGCTAAAATCATGCGTAGTCTTTAAACTTTGAATTTTCGCCGGACGGGGGCGGCGAAAATATACGCCCACATTTCAAAGTGAGCGTATACAAATGGTTTATTATATCAGCACTCAACCAATATTTTTTGTTGTTTTTGTCAATCCAGGAAATTCATGAAACTTAGTGGAGAGAAGACCGAGGAAAGACTGATGGAATGGGAAGAGGATAAAGTTATGGTCTGGCATCAAGAAGATGGAGAAAGTTGTGAGGGTTTTATTTTGATGGTAAGAAAACGCTACTACAAATTATCTTGTTATATTTAAACTGTACCCTTTACGTGTCACATTTGTGGTGCCTGAAGAAGTATAGATAATTGTACTGAGTAAGTTATACCTGATTTTTAAGTCCGATTTTTCGATGACATCCAGTTCATAGATATTCCGCTTTCATTCTCAAGTTAATATATTGAATAAATTGTTACTATGACAGGGTATGTCATTCTTATGTCATTCTACTAGTAACCAGTTGTATGTTCAGCTCTTGCTGTGGTCCCCAAGCTTTTATAGACAATTGTCCACGCATATTTTTTCATTTCTCACATTGATAGCTGCATTTAAGGGTCCATTAAATATTACAAATGTGGTGCCCTTAATGGTATGCCCGGTTTTTCTTTCCAAGGTAATGCTTCATAATTGTATTTTTCGTTTTCTTTCTATTTTCAGTACGCGGAGGCTTTAATGATGGGCGTTCATCCTATAATTATGAGACAGCAACATGTACCAATGTACAGAAAATATATTGCTGGGGCATTAGTATATGTTGCAACAAACACGTCAAGCCTTTGCGACCTGTCGACTACATGTATCAATCCGAAAAACAAATGTATCCAATGGATAGAATGCGACAATTGTGGGAAGTGGCTGCATGTCAAATGTGCCAGTATCAAAATGAAAGATGTGCCGGACCAATTTTACTGTGGTGACTGTCATTAATTGGATCAATGTGGGAGATAATTGAAAAGGGTATGCCACTCTGTCCGTCCACCACACTTTATTGGACAGAATAACGCTGCTTCTAATTGAGCTGGAATATTCAAACCTCTGTACCCATCAGATGTTGCAATTGTTATACGATGTTAAAAACCAGTATATCATGGTACGCAAATAGTGTAAAAGTATATAATAGGTCACAATTTTTGGGCAATTTTTTATGCAAAATATTTTGATATTCACGCATGTTGGATCAAAACAAACAAGATTATGGTCCCTGAATGTACCGAAAATCACGTTTTTAGCTTGTGGTCTATCTAGAGGTCACATTTTATCCCATTTTAAAAACCGTTGTAATTTAGCACTGTTACACTGTTGGTGTACCTACCTACCCCTTGTTCAATACTGTGTTTTTGTTTATTTGTATGTATTATTTAAAGTAGTGAAATTGTTAATTGTGGATTGTTTGTTAAATGGGGATTAGTTTTGAAAAGTTCTTTTTATATGCCCATCTTGAAATGTGGTCGTATATTGTCATCACCCCCGTCATCAAGTGCTATCTGTTTTTACTGAAAATTCAAATATATGTTTATATCCCGATATCTTGGTTCCTTGAGGACGCTCTACATGCTAAAGTAAATACTTTAAAACTATATCGAGTGTTTAAGGTCGTGAAATGAAGAATCCTATTTTGATTTTCACTGATTTCCGATAATTACTGCTATGGTTACGGTCCTTGATCACTTTGAAATATCTTGTGGACACTAGAAGCTAAAGTTGACTTAAAAATTTATACACAATGTTTTGGGTCATGAGATTAGGTTTTAAATATTTCTCATAATTACTGCCAGAGTTAAGGCCCTTGATTACTTAGAAAAAGTTTGGCAAAAGTAATCATTCGATTGACTTTAGATTGATACACATCTGTTAAGGTCTTGAGATAAACAAGTACATGTATGTGGATTTTCAATGATTAAAGCTTATCATTGGGCAAAGCAAGAAGCCAAACAAATTCTAATAATTTTCTATTAATTACTTCATGAGTTGTTATTCTTAATCAGATTTTAGTGTATTATAAATGCTTCATTACCAACAACTGTAGCATAATGTTGGTGTATGGCAACCGCTTGTTTAATACTGTGTTTTTGTGCATTTATAAGCTTATATATTATTAGTTAATTGTTAATTGGAGATTAGTTGTTATATGGGGATTACATGGGAATATTTTTACATGTGGATTATTTTTAAATACCCACATCGAAATGTGGTCGTATATTGTTGTTGCCCCCGTCTGTCCGGCGTCCACACCCTAGAGGCTAAAGTTAATATCAGATTGACTTTAAATTTATACTGTTTAAAGTCACGAGACGAAGAATCAAATTGATTTTCACCAATTTCCGATAATTACTGCTAGAGTTACGGTCCTTGATCACTACGAAATATCTTGTGGACACTAGAAGCTAAAGTTAACATCCGATTGACTTTAAATTTATACAGATTGTTTAAGGTCATGAGACAAAGAATCGTATTGATTTTCATTCATTTCGGATAATTACTGCCAGAGTTATGGCCCTTGTGGAGGTCAAAGTTAATATCCAATTGGCTTAAATTTTATACACAGTGTTTACGCCCATATATAATTGTTTCGATTGACTTTAGATTGATACACAGAGTATACTGATTTTCAATAACAGCTTAATCTGTGGTATTAAATGTTTTGTATACTAAACGTTAGCATGGGTCAAACAAATTCTAATGATTTTCTGATAATATGCGACAACTCTTGTTGACTGCCCGGACGATTTAGCTTCTGAGGGCGTATGTTTCGTTGCCTGGCAACTTATTTTTGAAAAGTTCTTTGCCTGGCGACCTATCTGTAATTATGATAAATAAAGAATTCTTGAAGGGAAACAGTAAACTTGTTGCTTTTTATTTTATTTCATCATATAGACTAATATTGTTCAATTTTATTTCAATAATTCGCTTGTGCAGTGAAATAAACCTGGGGAGAGAGAGAGAGATGGTGTTAAACGTCCACTTGACACAAACTAGGTCATTTCGGGACTAACATGGTTTAATTTTATTTCAATAATTCGCTTGCGCGTAGGGAGGAAACTGGAGGACCCGGAGAAAACCCACGAGGTTGGACAGACGATCCTACTCCTTGTCACGTACAACCGGGGATTCAAAACCACGCCAGTTGACTCAATGACAGGCACGTGCTAACCATTCAGCCACCCATAAACCTGGGGAACCAGGAGAAAACCCACAAGGCATGACATTGACATCTATGGACATAATGTTATATTATCATTTCAATCAAAGCAGGCATGTGCACGTATTATGCAGTGTTAGCATTGCTCTTGTTACTTGAAGGACATAGGAGAAGAGATCACAATTGTGTTATGTTGTGTAAGGGTTGGTATCCTCATCACGATGCATTTAATGAAGCTTAAATTATCGGACAGTTATTTGTGTTACATGCATTTTCCTACATGGTTACATACCAGTAATTCGAGGTTATGCAACATCATTATTTTTATTATTACTAGTATCCCCAAAACCATCAATTAATTAAAATCTTTAAAGGGTATATTTATAAAAATTAAAACACTTATAAGGATCTACTTATTAACATACATGTATCGTTATGGAGCAAATAATGATATTTAACAAAAATGTGGTGCAATATATATCGATATATATAGATAAACACTTTGAAAGACATTCTGCAGATAAAATGAAATGTAGTTTAACGTCCTACTGTTCGATCAGCAGATAAAACAATAACAAATTAATTAACAAGATGAAAGAAGTAATATATAGATAACAACTAGAAATGAAATGAAATTGGTTTAACGTCCTACTGTTCTGATCCGAACAGGGCTAATGGAGACGGGCATGCACCATACAGTGTGCTGTCAGGGAAATTTTATATCGAATTCCAACTGTCAAGGGATCTTTTACGTGCATGCCGCCAATTTGTACAGACTCCGTCCTGTATCACTGACCAGGGGAACCACGCCGGAAAATCTGGATGAACTTTCTTCGCGAACTAGCGTCTACAGTGAGCCTCACAACTACAAACCATTTAGCAAATGAAACAATAACAACAATTAATTAACCAGATGAACGGTGTAATATATTTTTATGGAGATCCTTACAATAGTATATTTTAATGGATACTACTGATTGATAAAAATTTTGACGCGTCAAAGCCCGACTGCTCTTTGAAAAAATAAAATGAAAAAATTGGACCCATCTACATGTCAAAGTTATACACCTATCTGAGGATTTCTACCCACCTAACCAGATTTCAGAAACTTTAGGTTACATTGCAGTTTGATAAAATATTTTAAAATCAGTCAACTGTTTGTTATAGATTTACGGTACAGCAAATATTTTTGACAGGAATGTCACGTGGTCAGCGACCGATTATAAGATACTGTGGACTTGAATTAAAAATCTTATTTTCTAAGAACACACGGCTAATTATGTAGTGATTTTGAAAATATTTCAATACAATGTCAATAGTGGAGCAGGTCATATATCTAGTTACGTGTCACACACTACTAACAGCCCTAAAAACATCGAGGGGTAATTAGCGCAAAGTGGGCAATCTGCGCTCCAGCTTGACGCGCGCAGAGTGCAATCTGCGCAGTACGATTGCAATCTGCGCTGGGGGTGAAGATTGCGTCTAACAGCTGTATCTGTGGAAATGTATTAAAGTGATACGAGGTTATTTTCTCCAAAGATGTTAAATCCACCATATTTGACACGAAGTGGCGCATTTACAAAATGTCGTTCAAAATTTCGGCTTTATCGCTCGTATTATGACCATTCTTGTATGGGCATGACCATCAAACTCTCGAATCAAATTTATCCAGAAACCGGTGAAAAAAGTTAAGGCCATATACACTGGCTGTGTGAATTTACATAGGCTGTAGAACTGCATAGTAATTTAATGTGCATGTGCTAATTTACATGTAAATGGGGTCCATTTATAATAATATCTGACTAGATATTCTGACTAGCTGGGGTCATCTTTCTATCTGTAATAATTTTATTAGGTGAAAACTGCATATTAAAAGAGTTATGAGACTCGAAATGTGACCTTTTTGAATTTATGTAAATTAGGCCGTTTTCCGGCCGCGAAAATCAGAGAACTTTGGATATGTTGTAGAGAATGATCCCACAAAGGTACCAAGAAACCTTATGTTGCAGTTTGTTCTAGGTCAACACTTATTTTTACTGGACTATCAATACGTTTGCAACTTATTCATTGGGCATAATATGCGGTGTCTAAATAGAGTGCTGAAAGGGTAAAAGTCCTCTGAAAATCAATTCAACATACCAACGGATTTATTGTAAAGATCCAACTGGAGTGTTTACGTAATGAAAGGCACATATATATAGAGTTCTCTTACAAACTCCAAAATTACAAGAATATGGACCAACTAGAAGGTTTAAAATCAAAACACCAATTTTTAGTCATAGAATAGTAGTTTCAAAACTTGCGAAAGTTTATAACTTTGCAGGTTGACATAGGTTTCTATATATTGTGCATACGATTCTGAGTGGGTTACCTGACAAGCACTGGTCCATTTGGCATGGAACGACCCAACTGTGATTCAAGGATAATTCTATTATTTGAAAGATGACAAGTATTACTGGATGAAGCATGGAAACATCTAACTTGCGAAAAACTATTATATACAAAACATAAAAAAAATCTTACACAGGTTAATCCACAGTTAGAGGTGCTGAGATTGAGCAAACAGTGTTGGCGAATTGACCCGTGCACTATGTCATTTCTTTAGGTTTTTATGGTCACTAGTTTAATTTGTGACAGTTTCCGATCGAACTGAACAAATTGTGCAGCCTTTATCATAGTCACAAGGATTTTGGAAACGCGGGCGCAAATCTGAAACCCTGCTCGCTGTATTATAAGGTCTGTCATTAAATCAACTGGCGTGGTTTCGATTACCCGGTTGTGCGTGACAAGGAGTAGGGTCGCCTGTCCGACCTCGTGGGTTCTCTCCGGGTCCTCCTGTTTCCTCCCACTGCTAACGACCCCTACGCGCAAACGAATTATTGAAATAAAATTGAATCATATGTTAGTCCCGAAATTACCTAGCTTGTTTACCCCCCTCTCTCTCTCTCTCTCTCTCTCCTTCTCTCTCCCCAATACTTCTCACGAAATTTGAAAAGTATCAGTTTAAAACTGTCATCTCTATCGTATTCGACACACATGGAAAACTCTGAACGAAAAGGCCGCGGAAAGCTGACTATCCATAGGGTTTATTCTCTTAAGACCTCGATGCTTCCCAAAAAATTTGAAAAAAATCTCTTGACATCTATAGCCTCTATTATAAATTATGGAGTTTTCAATTTTGCGGAATATTGATAGGGTTCGTCCTCAAATGGCTACAGATCACTGTGGCAAACTCTTGCCCAAAAGCATGTATGAATTTCACCATGAAAAACTTGAGATACACAAGCTTGAATTAGAGACAAGTAAACATGCCATTTTCGACCCTACATTTGAACCTAACCAACCTTCTGCCTCAAAATCATGAATATTCACCAAAACCTGTCAGAAAATGTATTTTCAAACCCTTTTCTTCCAGTCTACGCCAAAAAGTCAACAAAAATCGCCATGCAAAAGCGGACAAATGGAAAGGTAGAGAAAGACTAAAAATAACTTTTGCCCTTGTTTCGTGGGTGACGGCATATACATATTTGGTGAGCTGTGTCCCAATGACCACAATGTTCAACACCAGATTTGAAAAGGATCCGTCAGAAACTTTAGCATCTTTCGCAATCACAAGTCAATTGTTGACAGACTAACAGGATTGTTAAATATATACTATTCAAAAAAAGTAGGGGATATTTGATTTTGGGGGCATAATACTAAAATATGCAAATGACTACGAAAAAAGTCACTATAGAACCTAACAGAAGAAACATTTCCAGTTACATGTGACGCCCAAACGCACCAATAGCTACCGCATGGAATGCAGGTGATGCTTGGGATCATCATGGGGGTCCAACCCAAGATTTGCACGACTCTGACTTTGAATGTTACAGTCATTGTGGCATTGAATTCCAGGGTGGAAACATCAGTTTAATTGTTTTAGTGACCAGAAAACAAATTTTGATATGCGTCGGCTTACCCAAAATGAAAGGTTACGTGCCCTTGGCATGCTACAGATCGGCACAACACAGGCGGTTGTGGCGCGGAGGATGAATGTTTCTCAGTCTGTCATAAGCAGGCTATGGTCCAGATACCGTGATACACAATCTGTACAGGACAGACCACGCTCAGGTCGACCAAGGGCGACAACTCAAGCCCAGGATCGATTTATCCGTACCTTGGCCTTGAGAAATCGTGTCATCACAGCAAATCAGATCAGCGCTCGTCTTCAAATAGACACTGGTGTGAGAGTGAGTGGCCAGACGATTCGGAATCGACTGGATAGGGGTCACCTTCGCGCCCGACGTCCTCGCGTGATCCCTTGTTTGAGAGATCATCACATTCAGGCAAGACGTCGTTGGTGTAGGGATCGTCAACACTGGGATAATCGACGCTGGAGCAATGTGATGTTTTCAGATGAGTCAAGGTTCACTGTTGATTTTTTGGACAGACGTAGGAGGGTGTGGCGTCGTCGAAACGAGCGCTTCCAAGACGTTAACGTCATCAGACATGATCGATTTGGGGGTGGTTCTGTTATGGTGTGGGAAGGCATCACTGCTGCTGGAAGAACGGCTTTACATGTTGTTGCAGGGCGTGTTACAGGCCAGTACTACCGGGACAACATCTTGGCAGTCCATGTTGTGCCGTTCGCACGACGTCATGGCCGCCGTTTCATCTTCCAGGATGACAACGCAAGATGTCACAGGGCCAGGATCGTTACAGGTTACCTCCAACAACAGAACATCACCACATTACCTTGGCCAGCACTGAGTCCCGACCTCTCCCCCATCGAGCATGTCTGGGACATGCTTGGACAGAGGTTACGTCAACGTCAACAACGTCCTGCCAATGTCCAAGAACTTGCTGCTGCGTTGCAACAGGAATGGGACAATCTGGACCAAAATGACCTTAGACGTCTCATTAGGAGTATGCCACGTCGGATCAATGCTTGTTTGGCAAACAGAGGAGGATTTACCCGTTACTGACTTGGTTGTGATGCTGTGGTAACTTTGCTGTTTGACCCCGGGTATCATTTTACCCTTATAATGGTCAGTCTGTGCCTTACTTAGTCTAACGATCATTTGGAATAAATCGATGAATGTGAACTTCATTTCATTTTGTCATTTGTTTCTTCGTCAGTTTCATTAGGTGACTTTAATAACACTTAAAAATCAAATATCCCCTACTTTTTTTTGAATAGTATATAAAATCACATGCTATCAACCTTACAAAGATTCTGTCTGAATTACATTTATTGCCAATTTCATCTATATTAAAACAACGTGTTAATGGGGGGGGGGGGGTTCTGGGGCATAAGGTTTCTGTTCTAGCCAAATCGGGGGAGAGAGAGAAATGGGGTTTAACGTCCACTCGACACAAACTAGGTCATTTCGGGACTAACACATGATTCAATTTTATTTCAATAATTCGCATGCGCGTATGGGTCTTTAGCACTGGGAGGAAACCGGAGGACCCGGAGAAAACCCACGAGGTTGGACAGGCGACCCTACTCCTTGTCACGTACACCCGGGGAATCGAACCCCCGCCAGTTGACTCAATGACAGGCCGTATGATACAGCGCGCGCGTGCTAACCATTCGGCCACCCCATCCCCCCCTCCAGCCAAATTGGGAAAACTGCGAAACATCCGTCATGATTTTAGTTTATATTTATTCTCCAACTGATTTTTAGTTCATTAATTTTTTGCAGAATATACACATTATTGTATCTGTTAGTTATAACTACACCAGTAAGAGTCTTTTCACTTCATTTCTCAACTTCTGCTAGATTTTGATATAAGCTGAGTTCTTGATAGGTATTGGGTTGTTGATCCATTGTTTGTTTATCCAGCTCCTCGTATGTGTTCACTGCAGTTAAATAATCTTCAGAATTTGGACTTTCATATGTTGATGATGCTCTGGGTGTGTTGATGTGTTCGCGGTTAACACCTCTGGTATTTGTGACGATTGGAGGCGTATCAGAAAATATGTTGTTGACTAACCCTTGATTGGCGGTAACACGTCGAGTTTCAGACATCGTGTTGTTGTTCAACCCTTGATTGGTTGTACCATTATCTACTGTTTGATCATTTGCTGAAATACATAATGCATGAAATGGTTATTTTACAGGTTGGGGTAATATTGTGTAACAAAATTCACATTAAGGTGGAGAGGGCGAGGATGGGCCTTTAATGATGTACAATATAGCATACTGTATTGATACATGCTACAAATATCAAATTTCAGCTTTCATTATGAATAACGAGGATTTCTATCTAACAAATAAACATACTAAGATTAGTAATTACCTCTTACAGATTTTATACAAAATCTCTTCCCTTTTCTCTTCAGAATCACCCAAGCTAACGCTGCCGCAATACCAACGATCAGAACACTGATTACCAGACCAATAGCTATACCAACACCTAGCATGTTATTACATCCATTTACATCAGTATCTGTAGATAGATAGTATCCAGTATCAAGGTTATCATTAACATTAACTACAATCTATTGAACATTATCTATAATCTATTTAACATTTACTATAATCTATTTAACGTAAACTACAATATGTTTAACATCAACTATAATATATTTAACATTTACTACAACATAATTAACATAAACTACAATCTATAATCTATTTAACATTTATAATCTATTTAACATTATCTATAACCTATTTAAGATTTACTATAATCTATTTAAGATTTACTAGAATTTATTTAACATAAACTACAATATGTATAATATAAACTATAACCTATTAATATAAACTATAACGTGTTTAGTATAAATATAAACTCTATACTGTTTTTAAACATGCTACATTAAAATATATACTTTAATCTGGTTTTGTTGAGATCGCATACATGAAGTAAAAGTTTAACGCCAATCAAACGGTTTTATGACGGAGAGGTGTGAAAACGTAAGTAAACAAAGGACTGTATCATTACTAATGTTCATCTAGTTAACTATGTTAATGATTAAAATATTAATTCAGGTCCATCGGATCGGTTAACGATTATCTTAAAAATATTACTCACGTATCTTGCATTCCAAATTTATTCTTGAATCAATCAAATATATTTATTTATTTATTTCACATTTATTCGTACACTAGTGTACCCTTCTTTAAAATATGATAAGAAACTCACTACCACCGTGGAAGGTTATTGATCACTCAAATTTATTATTAAAACACATCTTTGAAAATTGCAAACTTCAAACTGAAGAGTTGACCACCGTATAAGTGATCTAAGAATCGAACTGTTGACGGAAATAAAAAGTGTCATCGAATATGCCGACACCAGTTTACATCTTGTGGGTTTAAAATTCGTCTAATCCATGTAAAATGAAATGAAATGGAGTTTAACGTCCTACTGCTCCGCTCCTAACCTGGGCTAATGAAGACGGGCATGGATTCTAGTAAAAGTAGTAAACTATATATAACGTAGTTTTTGTCAAGTTTCACTTTTGTTGTGAACTACATTTCTCCGAAGCAGACTATAGCTTTATTTTTTTTGTGTTTGATAATCCTCATGCTTGACTGCTCCTTACACGAGAAATAGTGGGTTGCATAACGGGATGACACTGAAGTAAATACCATACGTATGGTATTATCTGAAATTACTGGTTTATAGAGTCTGTTGATGACAGAATGGGTGTGGTTTTGTATTGGTTAATATTGTTCTCATAAACATTGCTTAGATTTGAAAACTAGTCCGCATTGCAAACAGTCATACTGGAAATTGTTTGTTTAAACCTTTGAATAAGTCCAGTTATGATATGAATGTAAACGCGGATTCTGGTGCACGATAATGATACACATCCAATCCCTGATAAAGATTATTCAGATAAATTGTCGTCCAGGAGAAATCTATTTTAAGTCCATTGTTAAATCGATCTTGAATTACAGCGTCAAGTCATAGTGAAGTCGGGATTTGAGAGCTGTAAAAGTATACACGCTAGTCTACCTTGGTGATTAATGGCAATGGCAAAGAATATGTAGCAGAATAATGTTACAAGTTGGATTTAGTAAACCCGTGATCAGGATATGATTCCATATTCGATCTGCTATGCTACATAATGCCATAGTTAGAATTGTAAATACAAACGTTATCAACTTACTATATATTTTAACCAGCAATTGTTTAGATTGAAGTGAATCAGGTATCTGTGTATTTGTAACCTGACAGGTGTAATTACCGGCTTTTTGTCGCGTGATGTTGTTCAGTAAGAGAAGTTCAGTAGATGATATTATAGTAGATCCTTTAAACCAGTTGATGTTACACGGTGGTGGATTACAGTCAGCTGAACAGGTTACGGTTGTACTTTCATTTTCTATCACTGTTATACTAGAACTGACTGGTGTAAATTCGATATTCTCTGGTCCATCTTTTAAAATACAAAATAGATTTAAACTGAACATAGATTAAGGTTTGCCTACCATTTCTGTATTTAATGTTTTTTTATGCATTTATTTAGTTTAAATCGAGAATTCCATATTTTTAAGTTATATTTTTAAAATGTATTAAAATAAAGCCTTAAAATAGATGCCATCTATAAACAGTCCTACATTGTTAAAGAATAATCCTATAATTCACTATTGCCAGTTGAGAAATTGGCATAAATATAATTTTCAACTTCAAATTCAAACGTTTGAAGATAGCTATTCCATGTGGGGAATAGAAAACCAAGGGGTGTAATTGTCTTATTATTTCCGGTGTGAATGATTTTATAAGTGTGATAATGATACCTATGATCGTATAATAGTGAGTTGACAACCTATTGAGCAAAAGACAAAATGAAATGAAATGGGGTTTAACGTCCTACTGTTCTGCTCCTAAGCTGGACTAATGAAGACGGGCAAACGCCATACAGTGTGCTATGAGGGAAATTTTGCCCGGGCAGCGGCACAATCGCCCACTCTTATATCGAATTCCAACTGCCAAGGGGTCTTTTACGTGCATTCCAATGTATACACGAGACCTCGGTTTTTTGTCTCATCCGAAGGACTAGACAGCTGTCCAACATGCTAGTACAAATCTTATATTTCCTTGATTCTGATTGGTTAAACATGTACCATTTATTAGACAATAACACTCTTCTGTTTTGAGGCGATTCGCAGCGAACTAATATAATTCCTATCATCAATGTTAGTACGCCAAAACTCTTTATAAGGAAATATAAGGGATGGTAGCACAAATCTGAAATTTCCTTGATTAAAATTCAATTTAAAAAAAGCCTTTGTATATGGACTATAATATAAGGGAAATGAATTACAATGATCTGGGGTATAGCGTCCTACTGGTCTGCTCCGACTGGGCATACGTCATACATGTGACAAAATGCCCGAACTTATTGCCCCCCAGCTGGATTGGATATTGTTAATCAATCTAACATGTTTTGACAATGTAGATATGACCTGTATACATTTATACCAGTCAGCGAAATTAATACGATAAATTGTTAACTCCATATATGATAATGACCTTTTGTGTGTTGACCCATTTTCTTATAAGACATTCGTAGTAACGTTCCCCATTGTTTAAAGGTATACAATCGTAAGTTTGCTGACAGTTAAGGACAGGCGAGGAGAGAAACGAGAGGAAGAGATGAGCGTATGGACTCACCCGAGTTCAACCGCTGCCGTTGCAGAAGGGCGGAATAGTTGAAATATAGTCATATGTTGTTTATAGTCCTGGTGTAGTTTAGTCCCTGTTTAATTTATGTTTTATATTCTGTGCCCGATGTAAATAAATCATATATTAACGAAACTGATCTCTGTTATCACTAAAATAGGGTTACATACAGTATAGTATGCGGGAATGTTGCCAAGGCAGCGGCGCAACGATCTATTCTTATTTCGAATTCCAAGGGATATTTTACGTGTATGTCAATGTGTACACGAGACCCGTTTTTTTTGTCCCATCCGAACGACTATAAGTTGTCCCTTGCCAGCCCCCCCCGTCCTGCGCACCACTGACAAGGGGGGGGGGGCACGCCGGAAATTCCAATGAACTTTCTTGACCAACGCAGGGATCGATTACGGGACGTCCAGATTACTGAGCCAGCCTCTTAATCTCTAAGCCACCTGGCTTCCATAACTATAAGAGCAATCTTTATGCTTAATAATCATAATGAAAAACCGCGAATAGTTCATTAATTAGTGTATTTAAAACTTGCAGATATGCAAAACGGAAATTTGATGTTTTTCAATGGGTTCAATGACAGTATACTGTTGTATATATCAACTTACAATAAACTAGAAGAGTTACAGGTGAACTACTGCCAGGATTAAAAATATCTCCACAGGTCCAGGTACCAGTATCAGTTGACGTAACATTAGTTATATTAAGATATAATGTACTGTTGTTACCATTGATACAACCACATGTATATCTGGTATCAGATGGTGATCCATGTCTACAAGTTAATAATTGTCCACAGGCTGAGATATGGTCCCGGCTAAACTGAATATCAGTGAGTATAAAATTTCCACCAGATATCTTACAGGTAAATTTGTAATCCCCTCCTCTAACACCATATGGTCCTGATCCTGATAAATTGTATGTTTGACCTGTAACAGAAGTAAGAGACATGTAAATCTATAATCCCCTCCTCTAACACCATATAGCACTGATCCTGATAAACTGTATGTTTGACCTGTAACAGAAGTAAGAGACATGTAAATCTATAATCCCCTCCTCTAACACCATATGGCGCTGATCCTGATAAATTGTATGTTTTAAATGTAACAGCTGTAAGAGACATGTAAATCTATAAGCCCCTCCTCTAACACCATATAGCGCTGATCCTGATAAACTGTATGTTTGACCTGATAAAAATAATAGAAGAATGTTAACTGTTTATCTTATTGAAATTACTGAAAAATGTACATTTAACATATAACAGAAGACATAAGTGACATGCTATTTTTATTGAGGTTACGGTATCACCATTGTCAAACCATATTTATGTTAAAGATCATATTAGTGTCTATCTGTATTGAAAGACAGATTGTCAGCCAACGCAGTTTTTAAAGAATAAAAGGACAGTCCCTATTGCAAATCCTGAAAAATCAACACTACTGAGCGCCATAGAAAACGCATCACTTTTTTTTCCAAAATATTTTATTACTAAGTGGTTTTGTATGTATAATATTATGCAATACTATGAACTATTGTTTCACACAATGCTCCCAAACACAAAAAATATCGGCCCGTGTGCAAAAATAAAATTGCACGAGACGCACATGAAAAACCCAATATTCACGTGCAGCATTGTGTGTGAGCCCTTTAAAAGCATGTTGTCAACTTAATGTGCAGTACATGAACTGTCAAACGTCAATCTGTCGTAATGTGTTGTTGGACGTGTGAAGGAATCGAGCTAGAGATGCCGAGACTTACTGAAAATCAACGGAATGAAGTCATGGGAATGTCCAGGCCTCCATGTCTACACGTGCTATTGCCAGACACTTCAATTGTCATCAGTCCACTATTGTAAGGTTGGTGGAACGTGCTCGAGTTACTGGATCAACACGTGACCGTCAACGTCCTGGTCCACAACGCGTTACAACCCAGGCTCAAGACCGCTACATCCGGGTCACTCATCTGCGTGACAGATTCCGCCCAGCGACTCGAACAGGTGCAGCAGTCGTCGGAAGACAAGGACCAGTAAGTGCCAACACCGTAAGACGTCGTCTAAGAGAAGTAGGTCCCCGTGCACGACGACCTTATGTTTGAGCTATCCTCAGGGATCATCACCGTCAGCGGCGTTTGATATGGGCTCAAGGACACCAGACATGGAGAAGAGTAGACTGGCAAAGTGTGCTCTTCAGTGATGAGAGTCGCTTTCATCTTTATCACGCTGATGGCCGTCAACGTGTGTTGAGACGTCTTGGGGAACGTCTTGCAGACTGCTGCGTCTTTGAAACGGATCGATGGGGTGGGGGAAGTGTAATGGTGTGGGGAGGCTTCACATTTCATCACCGGACCGCCCTACACATTTGCAGGGGTCGCGTTAATGCTGTAGCCTACCGTGATAATGGCCCGTGGAGGACACACGCGCTACTGACATCTGTGTCGTACTTTTGGTTTTGACCCCTCTGACTTTGTACCCTTGATTACAGATTAAACATCCATAAGTGTTCAAATGTGTTGTTATTGATGTATTCACATTTGAATATTGTTCACAATAAGAAGCAAAATAAATAAGATATGTTTACAGGATCATTTTGTTATACGAAAAACTAAGTGATGCGTTTTCAATGGCGCTCAGTATATATTCCAATCGAGCTTTCATAAAATCAATTGGATACATCTTATCGCTAATAAAAACAATGGTTATCACGATTTTAAGATTTTCAGATGACCTGATTGAAACTCAGTCTATGAAGCCGGGCGTCGAAGACACAATTAGACGACCGAAAACGCATTAACCTCATTGCACTTTCAGCGCGGGGGGTTATATGGTGGTTATCTGCGGCGGAAAGAAATTAAACGGTCACAAATACGTTAACTTTACTGCAATTCCGGCAGTAGTCAGCAAATAGTCCAATATAGCCTTATTATTCATGTGGCGTTAGGACCGAAATCCCATTCTATGCCCACCCGAATGCACATCACACATCGTTACTTTACGCTGTATCGGTAAGTAGTTATTTCAAGTTTTAGGTACAGAGCTGGCCGTTCTTGCTATAATAGTTCAAAAATATCAACGTGATATTCTATTCTTACAGAAAAAAGGGTATACGAGATCCCATTTAATAATGGATCTGTCAGAACATATTAATAAAAAATACTGGGCATCTGATACACAATGATCAGAACACACAACGGTTTAGTTAGGAATTAGTAATAGTCTAGATGCCCTGAACGGCAGAACCGGTGGTGAGTGGTGAGGGATGAGGGATGGGGGCGGGGCGGACAGATGGACATAAAACCAAGAATGTACCTTATGATAATTATATCTCTGAAATGGCTGCGTTCGAACGCTTTGATCATTGACCAGGAATATATCGACAAGGCCCACACGGCAGGCTTATTACTAATCGCCACTGTATCCTTTGTACAAAATTACGTTAATAGCGTTTGGTCTGGTGAGCCATCGGTCTATGAGTGTTTGTATACGCCTAGTTCTAACATACAAAAATTAATAAACATAACAAAACAAGAGCATCGGTACCACTGCAATATACGTCCACATTCCTGGGGGTCGGGGCATGCACCAAAATAAATAACTGCTGTCTTTACGGTATTGGGAATAAATATGCACAGTCCCAAGATGATCCATTCAGAATTGCATCCTGTAGACGAATAACAAAAATTGGACGTGGCTCGACCCATTGGGGTTGAATATGGAACAATACAAATAGGTACAACCCTATGATGGATCATGCCAAATTGGATGCAACTCAGTTAATAATTGCAAATATTAACAAAAAGTGGGAGTGGCACCGCGCAGCCGGGACGGATCATGCACCAAAATCAATAGTTCCAGTCCTTAGCTTATAAGGAAGGAATAAGTATTCCAAGTGCCAAGAAAATCCATTCAGAATTGTGGCCTTCGGACGCTAAAAACAAAAAATGGGCGTTGCGCGGCGCCTGGTGGTCGGGGCATGCACCAAAATCAAGTTGCCGTCCTTAGGCAAAAAGGAATGCATATGTCAAGTTCCAAGATGTGTACTACTATCAAATGGTCAATCTTCAATACTCAATCTTCACGCTGTGTTTTCGTCCGTGACGAAGTTACAACTACAGTTCAGGTTCTTTTCTTAAATACTTTATTTCTACAAACTGGAAGTGTTACAATTCTTCCTAGTCTCAAATAACTAAATGGCTGGTATGACCGGGGGAGTGGGCTCTGCCGAATGCCATTTCCCCACCCTATTTTATAGGTGCCTATTCCTTTGTCTGTATATTAATCTAAAGACTGATAACAACTAAGTTCTAAATATGGAAAGGACATGCCCCCCAAACTGAACATCGCCAGGGATTGTTACCTTATTTGGTCAACAAATATGATGTATGTTTTATAACAAAGAAACGTGTATATGACCAACATGCTCATTAATCTATAGCTAAGTTAACGTATCACCATAACCAGCATATACTTTCTATATTCGTGGTTATGAAGTTAGAATCAATAATATGAAAGATAACGCTATTGTTCTAGCCATCATATTTCTACATTCTTGTCTTTAGACCCAATGTCGTGTTATTGTCACAATATTCATAACCAACTTTAATTTGCGTTTCAGAATTATCTTATACCATAGCTAATATTTTGACAATGGAAAATAATTAATCAAAACCCTAATATTATTTTACATAGATGTAAGATGTTTCAAAGCACAAATTCTTTCCCTCCATATTACTACAGATGATCCATTCAGAATTGAGGCTTTTATACGATACACACAAAAATTGGGCGTGGCCCTGACACTAGGGGTCGGGACATGCATCAAAATCAATAGTTGCCATCCGTAGTCTATACGGAATACGTATGCCAAATTCAAAGACGATCCATTGACCAGCGGCTGCCAGGCAGGATACGCCCACATTTTCGAGAGATGGATAGAAAACAAGCTAAAACGAAAGTGATTTTTCCTACAATCAAGGGCCATAATTCAGGAAATTACAATTCGATATGCGCAAATATCGAAAGGAACCAAAATCTTTGAGTTATAAACTTACATTTCAAGTTTCAACAAAATCGGATAAAAATTGTGACCTTAGGGTGTAACGGTGATATAATAATACGTTTTTTTTAATCGGATAAAAATTATTACCTCTATAGGAACCACAAGCTAAAAACGCGATTTTTCGCACAATCAGGGGCCATAATTCAGTAAGTTACGGTCCGATATGCGCGAATATCGAGAGGAGCCAAGATCCTTGGGTTATAAACTTACATTTCAAGTTTCAACAAAATCGGATAAATATTGTAACCTCTATAGGGTCCACAACCTTGATATACCATATTTTCACGCTATTTGAGAACGAAGGACGGCCATTTTATCTGTCAGTTTTTGGCCGATTTTCACAAAATTCGAACTCAGTCGTCCTTAGGGTGTACCGGTGATATAATAATATGATTTTGTAAATCGGATAATAATTATGACCCCTATAGGGTCCACAAGCTAAAAACGTGATTTGTCATACAATAAGGGGCCATAATTCATGAAGTTACGGTCCGATATGCGCGAATATCGAAAGGAACCGAGATCTTTGGGTTATAAACTTAAATCTTAGGGTTTAACGGTGATATAATAAAACTTTTTTTAAATGGGTTAAAAATTATGACCTCTATAGGGTCCACAAGCTAAAAACGCGATTTGTCATACAATAAGGGGCTATTTGAGAACGAAGGGCGGCCATTTTGTCTGTCAGTTTTGGGCCGATTTTCACGAAATTCGAACTCAGCCGTCCTTAGGGTGTAACGGTGATATATTAACACGTTTTTTTATAAATCAGATAAAAATTATGACCTCTATAGGGTCCAAAAGCCAAAAAACGAAGGGCGGCCATTTTATCTGTCAGTTTTTGGCCGATTTTCACAAAATTCGAACTCAGTCGTCCTTAGGGTGTACCGGTGATATAATAATATGATTTTTTAAATCGGATAATAATTATGACCTCTATAGGGTCCACAAGCTAAAAACGTGATTTGTCATACAATAAGGGGCCATAATTCATGAAGTTACGGTCCGATATGCGCGAATATCGAAAGGAACCGAGATCTTTGGGTTATAAACTTAAATCTTAGGGTTTAACGGTGATATAATAAAACCTTTTTTTAAATGGGTTAAAAATTATGACCTCTATAGGGTCCACAAGCTAAAAACGCGATTTGTCATACAATAAGGGGCTATTTGAGAACGAAGGGCGGCCATTTTGTCTGTCAGTTTTGGGCCGATTTTCACGAAATTCGAACTCAGCCGTCCTTAGGGTGTAACGGTGATATATTAACACTTTTGTATAAATCAGATAAAAATTATGACCTCTATAGGGTCCACAAGCCAAAAAACGCGTTTTTGCGTACAATCAGGGGCCATAATTCATGAAGTTACGGTCCGATATGCGCGAATATCAAATGGAAGCGAGATCTTTGTGTTATAAACTTACATTTCAAGTTTCAACAAAATCGGATAAAAATTGTGACCTCTATCGGGTCCACAACCTTGATATACCATATTTTTACGCTATTTGAGAACGAACGGCGGCCATTTTGTCTGTCAGTTTTGGGCCGATTTTCACTAAATTCGAACTCAACCGTCCTTAGGGTTTAACGGTGATATTTTTAATTCGGATAACAATTATGACCTCTATAGGGTCCACAAGCCAAAAAAACACGTTTTTACGTACAATCAGGGGCCATAATTCAGGAAGTTACGGTCCGATATGCGCGAATATCGCAAGGAACCGAGATCTTTGGGTTATAAACTTACATTTCAAGTTTCAACAAAATCGGATAAAAATTGTGACCTCTACAGTGTTCACAAGCCAAAAACGTGATTTTTCGTACAATCAGGGGCCATAATCCATGAAGTTACGGTCCGATAGATGCCAATATCGAAAGGAACCGAGCTCTTAGGGTGATAAACCTATATTTCAAGTTTCATTGAAATCGGATAAAAATTGTGACCTGTAGACTGTTCACAAACAATTGTGGACGGACGGACGGACGGACAGGGGCGACGACAATATACGTCCACATGAAAATGTGGGCGTATAAAAACAATATTGATCATGGTATAAAGAATAGGTATGCAAATTTTCAAAAGGATCTGTCAAATAGTGTGGCATGTAGGCATCACACAGACAAAACAATTGGGGGTCGGATATGCACCAAAAATAATAGAGATCATCCTCATGGTATAAAGAATAAGTATGAACAATTTTCAAGATGATCCTTTAAGAATTGCGGCCTGTAGGCGACACACAGAGAGAAAGGGGGCGTGGCACTGTCCCTGTGACTTGAACATGCACCACCTACAAGAGAGAGAGAGAGAGTGAGAGAGAGAGAGAGAGAGAGAGAGAGATGGGGTTTAACGTCCACTCGACACAAACTAGTTCATTTCGGGACTAGCACATGGTTTAATTTTATTTCAATAAATCGCTTGCGCGTAGGGGTCTTTAGCAGTGGGAGGAAACCGGAGGACCCGGAGAAAACCCACGAGGCTGGACAGGCGACCCTACTCCTTGTCACGTACAACTGGGGATTCGAAACCACGCCAGTTGACTCAATGACAGGTCTTATGATACAGCACGCACGTGCTAACCATTCGGCCATCCACCCCCCCCCCCCCACCTACAATAGAGATGATTCTTAGTGTACAGGGAATAAGTGTGTAAAGTTTCAAGATGACCCGTTAAGAAATACGGCCTGTAGACGACAAACAAACAATACCCTTAGGGTATAAGGAATAAGTATGGAATTGCGGCCTGTAGGCCACCCCCCACGCACACACCCACACCATCACATACACACACACCCACACACACAGGGTCGACGGCAATATGCGTCACGTATAAAAATAAACAGTTGCTACGTTACCTTGTATATTATAAAACAGTAAAATCAGTAAAACAAGAATAATATTACAAAACATCGATATACTGGTCGATATTTTACTTTTATATCTAGACCAGGACGTTAAATATTATTTATAAAGTTTTAATAAAGGCGTTTGTTTAAATAAGATATACCTTGTATTATAAGTCCATGGAAATACGAAACGACTGTTATCGTTGACATGATAAATACAGTAAGTATGTATAAATACCACACGTTAAAGGATGTATAGTCTAAAACACATATTAATATAAAATTAGTGTATTAAAAGTGATTTAGATCTTGGTGTAATTTCTATTCGGTGAAATACATGAACAGTCCAAATCGAAATGAAGTTGATTGTGCCTTCTTATACCATTCTACACATTTTTTAAATAGTTTTATTTGATGTATATGAAAAGTATAGACACCCAATCTTACTAGAAAAATACTGGATTACCCGAAAAACACACACGGGGCAAGCACTGGGCACAAATTTCAGGGAATCACTAAACCCGACTGTTGTCTGCCAGCTTATTGTGTACGAGCTTGATAAAGGGAGCGGTTGTTATTTCTTGCTCAAATGGTTAGGCGGTTTTGGGAACATTGAGGGGCGTCAACTTACAATTAAACGGCAGAAAACGAAGTTGATAGAAAATAATTAAGAATTTACCTAGTCCTGAATATGTATGGTAAATGGACAGTAAGTAATGAAAAATACATTCTGAAAACTGTTTGACAGATTAATTAGTTTGAACATGTTTTTAGTCCAAATATATCATTAAATCACACAGTTTGTACGCAGGAAAGTATATTGAACGGCTTAGCTCCTTTAATGCATGTAATATTGAGTGGGGTTATGAATAGCCCATGTTGTCCCATGTGTTACTGGAAGGTTGGGGCTTACTTCTTGATTTAAGGTTATATTAATCATACATTAAGTAAGAGCTAGATCTGGCTATTGCAGGCCTTTCTTTAGGTCTGAAATGTTACCTAAATTATTAATTAGACATTAATTAACTTTTCCAGACCATAATCAACTCTCGATGTCATCGCTAGCCTGTGATATTTACTGGATTAGGGTTCGATTTGCTGCTCAACTTTCATTCGCGACTAAATCATGAAATGGATAATCGAGACTATGGTTTTTTTTATCGTACCGACTTTAGTAATGATGATCGAGGCTGGGCCGAAAATTCACTTTTGACTCCAGAAATGTTCACCAAAGCGCAGTGATATCAGCATAAATTGGAAATCCATGACACGAGTTAGCTTGCAGTACGTTCCCACAGCACTATGTGTGCTCTCAGTGCGTCCAAGTCGAGTTCAGTGCACTGTCAATACTTTTGCAACTCATTCATTGAGCATAATATGCAGTGTCTATATAGAGTGTTTAAAAGACAATAAGTCCTCTGAAAATCAATACAGCACACAAAAGTATTTATTGTGAAGATACCCCTAGAGTGCTTACGTGAATTTTATGTTGGCGTATAAAAAGAGTGATCCGCCTTCGCAAAAAAAGAGAGATAGAAACCCACTGCACACGTCACCCAAGCTAATCTCGAATACAAGCTCACTAAGAAATATAAACCTAAAGGAGCAAACTCACTAATATTTCGGACATGGAAAATGACACAAATAGGTTGCAACGCATATAATAATGTAATATGAATGTATATAACTCATTTACATTCAATCGTTTCTGTTTTTACTGTAATTTAGAATCGAATGGTAATCTCTAGCGTCTGCTTATTCCAGTCTACACCGATATTATGTATTGTGCATGCTCTCAAGATAAGATAATGCCGTCACCGTTTGACATGAATTGTGGAATATGTCTAGTCTGGTTCTTAGACTCCCTTGTTTACAAATGTCGCTGAAACGCATTGGTATACAGTTCGTGTACCAATGGTAAAATGTTTATTTTGTCTTAAATATTGGATATTAGAAACCAATTTATTCCCGGTAAGATCACAAGATTAATGTTTATTAAAACTGACAAATAATTTGTTTTTAATATCGAAGACTTTGGATGATTGAGTTAGAGACTTGGCTACTTTAAATGATATAACTTTACCTGCTACAATCTCTAAAATAAGTAAAACTGTTACGACTATAACACATTGTCTACAATCCGACATCATCATAACAAGGATGATTATCACACTACTTGATGCCAGGGCTTCGTGACGAGTGTTAAATTAATTAAATCGAAAACGTTATATACATTTACCAGTCGAGTCGAAATACTTCTTCCTGTTATAGATATGGGGATTATATTATAATACACACAACATGAGTTTCGTCACGACCTTGTACTTGATATTGACCTATGATAGTAAGGCAAGTTTCATCACACGCCTTTGAGAGTGTTGTGGAATATCTGCAAGCTATTTCCCTCACCTTTCTAGTACCTCCCTTTACTTTTTTTTATCTCCAAAGAAGGGATTTTGAGACTTTGATGAACTGATAACTGACAATTACCACATTTGATATAGCGCACATTACTGCATGTATTCAATGGCGCTTCACAAACGTTAAAGGAATGCTTTACGGCAAAAGTATGTTTTGAGTTTCTTTTTAAAATCAGTTATAGTTTGACATTGCTTTACACTTTCTGGAAGGATATTCCAGAGCCGCACTCCTAACACACTGAACGATTTCGTATTGTAAGATGAAGTTTGGGACTGTAATAATGCAGAAAGGTTGTGGAGACACTTATACACCAGTACAAGTCGCTTAAATTGGCATCGGACTTAATTGACAATATATGAAGTTGTTTCAGAGCAGCAGTCGAGGTATGGCCGCAAGTAACACCAAGAATTAGTTTTACAGTAAACTTTGAATTCGTTCGAGAGGTTGAAGTTTAGCAGACTATTTCCATAATCCATATGGGAGAAAACTAAAGAGCTGGCAATTTGGAGAGATGATTCTCGCGAAAGAAACGGTCTCAATCTCCGCAAGTTGAACATTGCCGAAGCAGCAGAACGAGTCTTCTGGGCAAAATGATGCCTAAAGATTAAGTTGTCGTCCAAATGCATCCTCAGGAATTTAACACGGGATGAAGACCCAGCTACTGAATCCCCAACTCTTAATTCGTGGATGGTAGCTGACGGCTACCACTGAAGATAATAACCTCAGTTTTTTCGTAGTTCATGTTTAGTTGATTGTGCAGCATCCACGTTTTAACGTCGTTTAAGGAAGCAATGTGGGATTCTGCTTCAAGATCCCCGGCTTTAAAACTGTCATCGGCGTAACCAACCGTGTCTGATACAGAATGCTAGTGCATGGGTATAGCAGATAAAGTAGATCGGACCATTGATGCTACCTTGTGGGTCTAACAAATTTACTTGTTTCACATGGGGGAAATCATCGTTAACTTTTACACGAAAACTCCTGTTTTGTAAATATGACGTCATCCACTCTTTTGTAATTTTGTAAGTTGGTCTATAAGCACTTTGTTAAGTTGGTAATAGGTTGTTGGACTAGATGGTTAAGGAAACATTTTTGGACAGGAAGGATAGATTGCTTACTGGTCTATAATTTTTCTTTTTGTGAGTTGCTGTTTGACAATGGCAGCTTCCCACACTGAGGCGAAGACGCCGGACTCAAAGAGCGGTTGATGATTTTCGAAATTTGTGGAGCAATGATCTTGGCATATTTTTTGACTAAAATTGATGGTATTGGGTAAAGGTCGCACGTTGATGGTTTCGCATTCCGGATACGTTTCTGAACATTATCTGTATTTAACCCGTAAATGAGGTGAATACAGGAACAGGCGGATGATAAAGTGGGTGATGATTCAAGTCCGGACGAATTTTGACCAATTTGTCAAAAAAGAAATCCGCAAACTCATTTGCTAGCTCGGCGTCAGATACATGACCAGGTAATGGATTGGTCTTCTATTTTCCCGTTAGATATGAGACAGTATCATACAACTGTTCTTTTTTTTATTTCCACATGATTTGATTTTATCTGAAATGTGTGAAAATTTTGATACATCAAGGTGCTTCCTGTATTCGTTCCGAATAATGATATACTGGTTCCAACAATGTGATGTTTTGTGTTTAACCCAGCGACGTTCAGCCTGGCGCGTCTCTCGTTTTGGATTTAGTGGACACTTATCAAACCATGTTATCATTTTGCTTTGAATTGGTGCATGTATGTCTAGAACATCTCGGAAGTTCAGAATTGTTGTTCTGTACCAGATCTTCAAGGGTGTCTAGTTCGATTACTTTATGTACCGCTTCGCTGAGACCCGATTCGAAAATCTCGTCATTAATGGATTTAAGTTTGCGGAAATTCCATTTCCTTTCTTTCTAACACCGGACGGCACGTATAAAATCGGCCTAGACAAATGAGTGGTCTGAAATAAAGTACTCTGCATCAACGTTTGAAAAGGCGATGTCTGCATTATCACGAACCAGAGTATTACCCAAGACATGTGTTGGTTTCTCTACGAGCTATTTAATGCGAGGGAGTTCAATAAATTAATAAATAATTTTACTTTATGGTTCTGCTTGTTATTGACGTGGATATTTAAGTCTACAACAAAGACCCAATTGCTATATTGACAAAGTGATTTACATGCATATTCAGCAAATTCTGCAAAGAAAGTTCCAGTTTGGACAGGATGGTTATCAGAATAAAGTGACATATAAACAGCAATCCCGGTAAAGACTTGTATTCGCCTTAATTAACAATAAAAACATTATAACAGTACTCTTCAGATGAGCTGCACTCACTAAGGGTTAATACTGAACATTTTTTTTATCAAATATACGGTACAATCTTGTGAACACACAGTGTATTAAGAAAAGGTCACGTGGAAATAAAGGAACCCCGACTAAAAAAATGGAAATCTCGAATGTGTGTCAACAATCGGGTACATCATCATCTGTTACGCCCTTTATCATAATATATACCTGACAAGCACATGTACATGAAACTACCCAACTGTGATTCAAGAACAGTGCGGCAGTATCTGTCATGTTCACTGAGAAAAAATAGACATGACGTTATCATCAAAAAGTCTGATTAGATATAAACTATTTTATTGCTTTTAACCTGTACAAGTATTCATAGATGAAGTATTGAAACTAACACGCGAAAAACTATTTTATACAAAAAACATAAATAAAAGCCCTTGGAGTTGAATGTTTCTGAAAAGGTTAATCCATAATTAGTGGCGCTGAGATTGAGCTTGACAAACAGTGTTGACGAAATGTCCCGTGTAATATGTCATTTTATAGGTTTTAATGTTCACTGTTAATGGTTTCTATTTTTCTCGTGTTCTCTTATCTAATGACATCCAATTACTTTTATGGATTGTCAGATATACTCTTACAGTCTCAAATAACAAATTTTGGTCTTCGAAAGAATTATTAGTGAGCAGAAATTCGCCCATGTATCTGTTATCACTCGTCACTTCAGTCAGTTATATTGAGGGATAACTCGTGTTTTCCTTTTGCGTACGTCACTTCCGATTGTTCGATGCTTCCCAAACAATTTGAAAACACTTTGTTAAAATATATAGCCCATATAGGAAAAGGGGACATAACTGAATATTGATAGGGTTCGTCCTCAAATGACCACAATGCTTAAGACCAAATTGGAAAAGCCAATTGTTGACGGGGGGTGGGGGGGGGGGGGTTGGATGGCTGAATGGTTAACGTGCGCGCGCTGTATCATAAAGTCTGTCATTGAGTCGACTGGCGTGGTTTGGAATCCCCGGTTGTACGTGGCAAGGAGTAGGGTCGCCTGTCCAACCTCGTGGGTTTTCTCCGGGTCCTCCGGTTTCCTCCCACTGCTAAAGACCCCTACGCGCAAGCGAATTATGTAAATAAAATTAAACCATATGTTAGTCCCGAAATGACCTAGTTTGTGTCGAGTGGACGTTAAACCCCATTTCTCTCTCTCTCTCTCTCCAATTGTTGACAGACTAACAGAATTAATAAATATGTAAAATCATATGATATCAACCGTATTCCATTACAAAAATTCTAGTATAACAGTTTGCATTACATTTATTGCCAATTTTATCTATAATAAAACAACGTGTTAGTGTTGGTTTTTTTTCTGGAGCATAACGTTCCGTTCTGGCCAAATCAGGACACTATGAAACACCCGTCATGATTTTAGTTTCTATTATTTCCCCAAGCGAATTTTAGTTTATTATGTTTTTGCAGTATATACATAGTTATGTTAGTTAAACATACATTATGCAAGAGCTAAATCTTCCTATTGCAAGTCCTTATTTAGGCTTCAGATGTCATAGAAATTATTAATTTGACCTTTATTTACACGACAAGCTCAAAATCAACTCTGTAGACCCACGGATGGTTTGGATACAGTTTGGATTTAAAGTCGTCCATTTAAAATTAAATCAATAAATGGCGGACCAAGCTAAAGTTTACCGTTAGTCGTTGATGTCACTACCGCAATCTGGTGATGAAAGGCCTGCCAAGCGAGGCTACCATGGCCATTAAGCATGTTACTTGATAATCGAGAATATGTGGGTGGAGTTATCGTCTGTTAATCAAAGGATCGCCAATTCTCATAGACGGTGCAGACACAATTGATGCCTAATTGATGTTAGTAATTTGAATGAAATTTTCAAAATTTTCTTTTTTTATCATCTATTTTTGAATTATTATAGCAGGAATGGCCAACTTTTTATAAAACTCTTAACTAATGTATCTTTAAAACTACACTAGTGGGAGTCTTTGCGCTTCATTTCCCACCTCCTGTTAAATTTTGATAAGCACTGAGTTCTTGATAGGTATTGGGTTGTTGACCCATAGTGTGTTTATCCAGCTCCTCGTATGTGTTCACTGGAGTTAAATAATCTTCAGAATCTGGATGATCATATGTTGATGATGTTCTGGATGTGTTGATATGGTCGAGGTTAACGGCATCTCTGGTATTTGTGACGACTGGACGCGTATCAGAAAAATTGTTATTGACTAGCCCTTGATTGGCTGTAACACGTCGAGTATCAGACATCGTGTTGTTGTCCAACCCTCGACTGGTTGTACCATTATCTACTGCTGAAATACATAATGCATGAAAATGGTTATTTTACAGGTTGGTGTAATATTGTGTAACGAAATTCTCATTAAGGAGGGGGGGGGGGGTTCAGGTGGGGCTGTTAATGGTGTACAATATACTATACTGTATTGATACATGGTACAAATCTCAAATTTCATCTTTCAATATGAGTAACACACATGTCTATCTAACGAATAAACATGCTAAGGTTAGTAATTACCTCTTACGGATTTTATACAAAATCTCTTCCCATTTCTCTTCAGAATCACCCAAGCTAACGCTGCCGCAATACCAACTATAAGAAGACTGATTACCAGACCAATAGCTATACCAGCACCTAGCATGTTATTACATCCATTTACCTCAGTATCTGTAGATAGACAGTATCTAGTATCAAGGTTATCATTAACATTAACTATAATCTATTTAATATAAACTAATTAACATTAACTTTAATCTAATTAACATTATCTATAATCTATTTAACATAAACTACACTATGTTTAAAGGAGCTAAATCGGTAATATTTTGGAGCTAGAAATTGGCACAAATGGGTCGCAACACATAATAATATAATAGGAATTTATATAAACTGTTTTACATTCAATCGTTTCTGTTTTACTGCGAATTGTCATCAGTTATGTTCGGTGATATACGCCAGAAGTCTCAACCGAAAGTCAGTTTCTAGCGTCTGGTTATTCCAGTCAACATCGATAGTATTTATTGTGCATGCTCTACAAATAAGAATATGGGATTAACGTTTGATATGACAAGTGGAATATATGTCTAGCCCCATTCTTTGAGCACCATGTTACAAATAGCACTGAAACGCATTATGGTACATGACTCGTGTACCAATGGTAAAATGTTTATTTTGTCTGAAATGTTGGATATCAGAAGCCCATCTTTTCCAGGTAAGATCACCACACCAATGCTGATTTAAATTGCAAAAAAAATCGTGTTTTCGATGCCGAAGATTATGGATGATATTGGATTTAATATAAACTAATTAACATTAACTTTAATCTAATTAACATTATCTATAATCTAATTAACATTATCTATAATCTATTTAACATTTACTATAACATATTTACACTATTTTGCCTATAACGTTTTTTTAGGACTTCGAATTCTGTCTTATGGTTTGGATTGTTCGTACTTGGTTTTATTTTATTTAACATAAACTACACTATGTTTAATATAATCTATAATCTATTTAACATTTACTATAACATTAACCATAATCGACCTGCTATGCTACATGCCATAGTTACAGTCTTGTAAATACAAACGTATCAACTTACAATGTACTATAACCATTAGTTGTTTAGATTGAAGTGAATCAGGTATTTGTGTATTTGTAACCTGACAGGTGTAATTACCAGCGTGTTGTCTCTGGATGTTGCTCAGTAAGAGAAAGTCAGTAGATGATATCATAGTTGAACCTTTAAACCAGCTGATATTACACGGTGAATTACAGTCAGCTGAACAGGTTACAGATCTACTTTCATTTTCTATCACTGTTATACTAGAACTGGTTGGTGTAAATCTGATATTCTCTGGTCCATCTGTTAAAGAGAATATAATTGGAATTATTAAGATTATTTTATCATTTTGAATGAAGGTATGTTATCAATTAGGGAATACATCGAACCACATGACCTCATTTCCAATTACCATCCGTGTTTTGCAGGCAACTTAAAGGCTGTCGTTTAAGATGCATGTAATTTTGAGTGATTTGATGAGTATCTTTGGTTTAGGGTATTCCACTGAAGAGGCGTTATATAGGGAATTGAAAGTTGTCAAGATTCTAGCGGCTAGACTTTCCCGATCAGGTGGTTCTTTAACGAAGTTTTGGAGTTTGATTAACCAGTCTCCAGTTGTGATTCAATTGAATTATCTAGCACGTGGGACCATCCATGAAATGGAACGAGCTTGTCGCTTGTTTAAATGGCCCTGAATAGCTTTCGGGTTCGGCTGAAGCAATTAAGATTACTCAGCAATGAAGTGAGGTTTTAATTTTTATCCGATATTGATGAAATTGATGATATTGGCGCATATCGGACTGTAACTTTTTGGATTATTGCCCCTGATTGTATGTGAACTCGGACCGAAGCCTCCCGTTGAATGGCCGCTACCCTTTACGGTAATAGTGTAAAGATAGGTAATACAAAGGTTGTGGACCCCCTAGAGACAACAATAATTCTTATCCGATTTCGATGAAACTTAAAACAAGCGTTAAGTATCACTAGTTTTTGGATGAGTTATGTTTCACGCAAAATGTTAAATATGACAAAAAAATAATTTGAACCTTCCAGGGGTGAAATTTTTTGTCCGATTCATGAGATGAAAATTAAACAATGTGTTATAAGTATCAAAAGGTCTTGGATGAGTTTTACTATCCATTCTAGAACTATAGCCCCTGCTTCGGAATATGAGAAAACCCCTATCCCGTCGCTTTTAATTACCCAATCTGTCATAGATACCGGTAAAACGGAAGTGAGATGTAATGAAATATTTAAGATCGACTGCTCAGTCTCACTTCTGTGTTAAAATCAGGCCTTGTCCAGTCTCACTTCTATGTTAAAATCAGGCCCAGTATCTAACTGAATAGTTACTTGAGTGCAATAACCTGGATATAAATAAGGAAAAACATACGGCCAAATTGGGGGGGGGGGGGGGCTAAAGCCGTGTTTGAGTTTGACGGATTGCTCCATTGCCGGGTCTTGGTGGTAGCAATAAACATGCTATCTCCTGAAGATCGCCATTGGTTCAAGTGTGTACTGGAACTTTTACGGGTTTCCCTTTCGACAACATTTTCGATCATGCGCAGACCATTGCCTTATTGTAGACTGAAACCCATAGGCCATTGTGGGTTTTTTTTGTGAAAATACCCTCATACAGTAAGCTTCTTTTACAATAAATGGTACCGATCGTCTTTACTACATACGTGTAAGGTTTACCGACCGATGCCAGAAACCAATATTTACAAAAACTTCGATATAGAAATAATACAAGTTTACCAGACCCGTAATGACCGTATGCAGTTTTGGGAAACAAGTGGATGGCTCGAACAAGAATTCGGTCATGTTTATTACGCATTTTACGACCAAACATATGTTATTTATTAATTACAGGATTATTTACACAAAAGTGTTGTTATAAATTGTTTGCAGTAAAATTAACACAAAACATATAAATCGGCTTACCACCATCATATATCCTCTGCTAGAACGCAGTATATGTCAATAAGACTGGTAAGTGTGTCGTGTTTTGTTTTCTTGTTTAGATAATAACAAATCAATAGTATTAACAATATTTAAAGGAGCTAAATCGCTAATATTTGGGACCTAGAAATTGACCCAAATGGGTCGCAACGCACATAATAATGTAATCTGATTGTATATAAACTGATTTACATTCAATTGTTTCTGTTTTGACTCTAATTTCAAATCAGTTATGTCCAGCAAAATACGGCATGTCTCAATTTTTAGTGTCTTGTTATTCCGGTCTATTGCAAATGCTCTCCAGATAAGATTATGATTAAATAGAACCACAGGACCCAATTTTCGTGCTTTGTGGTACATCTGGTGTCATATAGGGATGCATGTAAGCCCTATCAACAGCATGCATGTGTATTACGTAAATACATATCCGACATTTGTTATCTGTATGGATTACATGTAGGTTATAACTCATACTTCCAATAAACTGTTATCTATAGTGAGTAGGGTAATACTTACAATAGACTGTTACCTATAGTGGGTAAAGTAATACTTACAATAAACTGTTATCTAAAGTGAGTAGAGTAATACTTACAATAAACTGTTATATGTAGTGAGTAGGGTAATACTTACAATAAACTGTTATCTATAGTGAGTAGGGTAATACTTACAATAAACTGTTATCTATAGTGAGTAGGGTAATACTTACAATAAACTGTTATGTATAGTGAGTAGTGTAATACTAACAATAAACTGTTATCTATAGTGAGTAGGGTAATACTTACAATAAACTGTTATCTATAGTGAGTAGGGTAATACGTACAATAAACTGTTATCTGTAGTGAGTAGGCTAATACTCTACAATAAACTGTTATCTATAGTGAGTAGGCTAATACTCTACAACAAACTGTTATCTATAGTGAGTAGGCTAATACTCTACAATAAACTGTTATCTGTAGTGAGTAGGGTAATACTTACAATAAACTGTTATCTGTAGTGATTTAGTGAGTGGGGTTGTTGTTATGGTTCTTTGTTGAGCGTGACATGTATAAGCTGTATCTTGTCTCTGGATGTTGTTTAGTTGTAGAAGACCATTACTAGATGATGTTAAAATACTACCACTAGTATCAGCTCCTTTATACCAGTTAATATTACACGGTGGTGGATTACAGTCAGCTGAACAGTTTACAGATCTACTTTCATTTTCTATCACTGTTATATTAGAACCTGTTGGTGTAAATCCGATATTCTCAGGTCCATCTGTTAAAATAATAAAAAAAACATAATAAAAAAAGTCAACTTACATTGTTCTAGACGAACCAGATAGTTTCAGTATTATCCATGGGGTTTAACATCCACTTGACACAAACTTGGTCATTTCGGGACTAACACATGGTTCAATTTGATTTCAATAATTTGCATGCGCGTAGGGGTGTTTAGCAGTGGGAGGACCCGGAGAATACCCACGAGAATGGACAGGCGACCCTACTCCTTGTCACGTTCAACCGGGAAATCGAAACCACGCCAGTTGACTCAATGATAGACCTTATGATACAACACGCCCGTGCTAAGCATTCGGTCACCCATCCCCCCAAAATAGGGGTCTTTAGCAGTAGGAGGAAACCGGGGGATCCAGAGAAAACCCAGAAGGTTGGACAGGTGACCCTACTCCTACGAAGTTAGCAGGGGATAATCCAAGAATATGTATGGTAAATTGACAGCGAATAACGACAAATACAAAGAAATTCTCCCTCATTCAAGTCACGTGATGAAAAGTGGTTCTTAAAATAGATTCTTGTGTTATTGCAATTTAAATGTTTTGAGAGGGGTATAAAGTAAACCTTTGATAGAGAAATTAGTTCAAATATATCATCAAATAACAATAGACTGTTATCTATAGTGAGTAGGGTAATACTTACAATAGACTGTTATCTGTAGTGAGTAGGCTAATACTCTACAATAAACTGTTATGTATAGTGAGTAGGGTAATACTTACAATAAACTGTTATGTATAGTGAGTAGGGTAATACTTACAATAGACTGTTATCTGTAGGGAGTAGGGTAATACTTACAATAAACTGTTATGTATAGTGAGTAGGGTAATACTTACAATAAACTGTTATGTATAGTGAGTAGGGTAATACTTACAATAAACTGTTATCTGTAGTGAGTAGGGTAATACTTACAATAAACTGTTATGTATAGTGAATAGGGTAATACTTACAATAAACTGTTATGTATAGTGAGTAGGGTAATACTTACAATAAACTGTTATCTATAGTGAGTAGGGTAATACTTACAATAAACTGTTATCTATAGTGAGTAGGGTAATACTTACAATAAACTGTTATGTATAGTGAGTAGGGTAATACTTACAATAAACTGTTATCTATAGTGAGTAGGGTAATACTGTACAATAAACTGTTATCTGTAGTGAGTAGGGTAATACTGTACAATAAACTGTTATCTGTAGTGAGTAGGGTAATACTTACAATAAACTGTTATCTGTAGTGATTTAGTGAGTGGGGTTGTTGTTATGGTTCTTTGTTGAGCGTGACATGTATAAGCTGTATCTTGTCTCTGGATGTTGTTTAGTTGTAGAAGACCATTACTAGATGATGTTAAAATACTACCACTAGTATCAGCTCCTTTATACCAGTTAATATTACACGGTGGTGGATTACAGTCAGCTGAACAGTTTACAGATCTACTTTCATTTTCTATCACTGTTATATTAGAACCTGTTGGTGTAAATCCGATATTCTCAGGTCCATCTGTTAAAATAATAAAAAAAAACATAATAAAAAAAGTCAACTTACATTGTCCTAGACGAACCAGATAGTTTCAGTATTATCCATGGGGTTTAACATCCACTTGACACAAACTTGGTCATTTCGGGACTAACACATGGTTCAATTTGATTTCAATAATTTGCATACGCGTAGGGGTGTTTAGCAGTGGGAGGACCCGGAGAATACCCACGAGAATGGACAGGCGACCCTACTCCTTGTCACGTTCAACCGGGAAATCGAAACCACACCAGTTGACTCAATGATAGACCTTATGATACAACACGCCCGTGCTAAGCATTCGGTCATCCATCCCCCCAAAATAGGGGTCTTTAGCAGTAGGAGGAAACCGGAGGATCCAGAAAAAACCCAGAAGGTTGGACAGGTGACCCTACTCCTACGAAGTTAGCAGAGGATAATCCAAGAATATGTATGGTAAATTGACAGCGAATAACGACAAATACAAAGAATTCTCCCTCATTCAAGTCACGTGATGAAAAGTGGTTCTTAAAATAGATTCTTGCGTTATTGCAATTTAAATGTTTTGAGAGGGGTATAAAGTAAACCTTTGATAGAGAAATTAGTTCAAATATATCATCAAATAACAATAAAATGTGTAAAAGGCACCATTCTTCCCGGACCAGTTAACGCAACAAAGTCTTTAAAGAATGCACGCATCATATAGAGCCAATGATGGACGCCCGGTGATGTGACTTCACCAGTTTGTACACGAAAAAGCATCATTGTAACGTTAAGCCTATTAAATTACAATGACATTTTAAATCTAACTTTGGCTAGGTAAAAAAAAATAAGGCCAATTGATTTATATGAAATTTTCAAACGTTACCATAACAAGAAGACACGGCATCAATATCCCGTGCCCATATTTCGATTTGGGAGGATACAGAGATTTGTAATATATACGTCCACAACCACCAACAACTAAATACTAGTTCTGTAGCCAAATACTAGTTCTGTAGCCAAATACTAGTTCTGTACATGTTATAAAATGTGCGGTAAACAGAAACTATCAGACATCCCAGTTATGCCCGGTGGTTATAGCATACACTAACCCTAACCCCAGAAATGAAAATGTAATGAAATGTGGCTTAAGGCCCTACTGTTCTGCTCCGACATTTTTCCGGAAATTCGCGCTACAGCCTACTTTTTTTTATATCACGTCATGGGATCTTTTACGTGCACGCCAATGTGTGCAAGGGATCTCGGTTTTTCGTCCCATCCGAACGTTTTTACGTTGTCCCTTGCCCTGCACTATGGTGGCACCACTTGTAAAGAGGAACCATGCAGGAAAAATCCGATAAACTTTCTCGACCAACGAAGGGATCATATAGGCGACCTCTAGATTAACGAGCCGACGTCTTACCCAATGTGTACACGGGACCTCGGTTTTTCGTTCTATCCGAACGACTAGACAGCTGTCCTTGTCAGGCCCTCCACCCTGCACCACTGATAAGGGAGGAGCCACATCGGAAAATCCCGATGAACTTTCTCGGCCAATGCAGGGATCGAACACGTGACCTCTAGACCAGCAAGTCAGCGTCTTACCCACTTAGCCACCATGGCTCCCTGAATCGCGTAATGAAAACACCACTACCGTTGCATACGTCATTTAGTAACGTCATTAATAATATAATACAAACAACTTACAATAAACCAGAAGAGGTACAGGTTGACTACTACCAACACGAGGATCAAAATCTCCACAGGTCCAATCTACAGCATCAGTTAATGTAACATCTGTTATATCAAGATACAGTGTTCTATTGTTACCATTGATACACCCACAGGTATATCTGGCACGTCCTGTTGACGACGCTTGTTGACATAGTGTTACTCTACATACTAATGTCCTAGTAGTTGTAAAGGTTACATCTGTGGGTATTCTAACAGTCGATATCTCGCATGTAAATCTGTAATCCCCTCCTCTAATACCATATGATGATGAGCCTGATAAACTGTACCCTTGGCCTAATAAAAAGAGAAAAATAACATCGTAAGCTGTCTATAATAGTACTGACCAAATGAAGTGGGGTTTAACGTCCTACTGATCTGCCCCGATTGGGCTAATTAAAGCGAGAATTTCAAATTTTCTAAGAAAGTCAAAACATAAATATTTCTATGTCTTTTGCTCAATAGGTTATCAAATCACTATTATACGATCATGGGCATTATTTCTCACCCTTAAGAATCTATGACACAGGAAATAACAACACAATTACCTCCCCTGTTTTGCTATTGACAACATGGGGCAGCCATTTTCCAACGTTGAAATTTGAAGTTAAAAATGGTATTTTTGCCAATTTCTCAACTGGCAATAGCGAATTATAGGATTAATAGGATTATTCTTTAACAAAGTAGGACTGTTTATGGATACCATCTATTTTAAGGGTTTATTTTAATACATTTTAAAAATATAACTTGAAAATTTGCAATTTCCGCTTTAAAACGATCATATCCGATGCAGTGTGCTATGACGGGAATGTTGCCCGGACAGCGGTGCTACGGCCGACTCTTATAGCGAATTCCAACTATCAAGGGATATTTTACGTGCACGCCAATGTGTACACGCGATCTCTGCTGCATCTCCCATCCAAACGACTAGACAGCTGACCTTGTTAGGGCCCGGTCCTGCACCACTGATAAGGGGAAACCACGCCGCAAAATTCTGATGAACTTTCTCGGCCAACTAGCGTCTTTCTGACTTAGCAACCGTGGCTCCCTAATAGTATTGACATTATTCCTTAATTGGGAGCTACTAAAATAACACAGTATTTATGGAATGGAATAACTTATACTATGGTTTATTACATTGAGATATTTTCAACTAGTCATTACTATATCAGTAATTGTATTCCATAGAATTGTGACGTGTATATTCCAGTTCAATTACTAAATGCCATTGGAACAATTTAATCATTACTGTGTATATATACACAGATGGATAGAATGAACTATTTAAATCATCGATGAATACTCTAGTTTTGAATTAACTGTAGACAAAAATATGCCGAGATCAGCACAACAGCTAGATCAAGTTATAATAACCGATTTGATCCATAATACATTTGTCTTATCGTACAGTATAAAATTGAGGCATTTACAGTAGATTTCACAATCCCTAGCAATATGGTAACATTGATAAGAGCGGGTACATAGACTGACTTTGGCTTACATCTTGTAGTATAAAATCTAGGCATTTATCGTAGATTTCACATTCCCTAGAATTACTCCGACGATTACTCGGAGTTCCGGACAAGGACAAATGTCTAGTCTAGTGAAAAAAAAACGAGGTCCCGTGTACACACTAGCATGTACGTAAAAGATCCCTTGACAGTTGGAATTCGATATAAGAGTAGGCCGTGTTGCTGATGTCCGGGCAAAATGTCCTTCATAGCACACTGTCCCTCATTAGTCCAGTCGGAGCAGAACAGTAGGACGTCAAACCCCATTTTATTTCTGGCCATTACGTCATGGATATATGTAACATAAACAGCTTATTAATCTAGGGCCTTGAGAGTGTATCTCCGTTTTGATGCGTTCCCGCTAAATCTATTCTGAATAGTGAGTTTAACCTGACAGAAATACTACATTCCTCAATTTTATTCCCTTGGGAATGAACAGGGATTATTTAGAAATAGTTAACGCCACCTTGCCCTAAAAAAGACGAATTAACGGTGGCTACCGAGAGTTGAAAACTCTGGCGTCGAAGGGATTAATCAGTACCCGCTACTAGCGATATTTCCACTGTGGAAGCAGACGTCCAACTACAACGCTACGAGCTTTAATATATACAAAATATAGAGATGAACCGACAGATTAAGAGATTGGGGCTTTATCGACATATAGCATATAATGTAAGAATTAATACAACTTAATTACGTTACTTTGTGTATGATAGAAAATAGAAAATATAAACATAACTATGATATAAAATAGAAAATATAACTATGTTACCTTTTATGGAATAACAATTACTATGAAAATGCTTGATAACGACTTGTGAAATCTTGTTGAAACGTCACAGTGAAATAAACCATAGTAATTGTTATTTCATAAAAGTGTGTTATTGGGTTATGTTCTAATTATTAAATGCCATTCAAAGAATATAACTATGTTACCTTGTATATTATAAAACTGTACAGACAGTAAAACACCAATAATATTATAATACAAGTATCTATCCATGACGGACATTTTGATGATGGTTTAACATACCACAGGTATTTATAGGGGCTTTTGCGTTTTATCGACAAAACGGCGAAACGGTTGAATGGTTTTATATTTGTGTATGGGTGTATACTATCACAGGAGAATGGGTTTATTTATATCAAGGTGAAGGCTTAAAGCTTTCTATAACATGTTCATCAACAAGGGACTTATCGTTGAATCGGTTGAGTAATTATTTATGATAGTACGAGCTATAGGTTTAACGACCACTCATCACAAACTAGGTGATTTCGGGACTAACATGTGGTTCAATTTTATTTCGTAGGATTGTTCTAGTAGTGAGAGTAAATCTGTCGGCCATCAGTAGTGTGGTTTTACTCATTTCTACTGTTATTCCCAGTATTACATCTTTTTTCACTTTTCAATATATTGCATTTTCTTTATCTATGTTTATAGTAGCTAAGTCTCTAACTCAATATCATCCAAAATCGTCGACAGAGAAAACACGATTTATTTGTCGGTTTAAATCAACTTTGATGTTGTGATCATACCGGGAAAAGATGGCCTTCTGATATCCAATGTTTAAAGACAAAATAAACATTTTATAATTGGTACACGAATCGTGTACCATAATGCGTTTCAGCGCTATTTGTAATAAGGGATTCGAAAAACGAGGTTAGGCATATTCCACAAGTCATGTCAAACGGTGACGCTATATTCTTATCTGGAGAGCATGCCCAATAAATACTATCAGCGTAGACTGGAATAAGCAGACGCTAGAGATTGAAATTCGATTGAGAATACTGGCGTATTTCGCCGAACCTAACTGGTTAGAAATTACAGTAAAATCAGAAACGATTGAATATAAATTAGTTTATATACATTCACATTACATTATTATATGCGTTGCGACCCATTTGTGTCAATTTCTAGATCCACAATATTAGCGATTTAGCTCCATTAATCTACGAGGCTGGATGGAAAGGTCTAAGCTTATCTGTGAAAGACCTATAAAGTCGATTGTTCCCATATACCCAAATTTTGCCAACGATGTTCAACATGATTTCACAAGTTGTTATCAAGCATATATCAACACAGATATTGTTGAAACGTCACCGCGAAATAAACCACAGTAAATTATGTCTATAAATAGTGATTATGTTCCATGTACTAAATGTCATTCGACGAATATATCGGATATTAACTTAAGCCTCTAGAGCGACTACAAGAATTTTCAAATTGATCAAGGGCCATAATGCTAGTTGAAATTTACGGAAATCGTTGAAAATCAATACGGTTTTTCGTCTCTTGACCTTAGACAATGTATAAATTGAAGTCAATCGGGTATCTTCCCTTTAGCGCCTAGAGCTCCCATAAGCAATTGAGTAGGTGGGGTGGGGGGACCGACGGACGGACCGATGGTCAAAGTTGACTACAACATACGACCACGTTTCAATGTGGGCGTATACAAAAGAAAATGCATTAATTATGTATATGGAAACGGCAAATATAAATTAATAGAACCCATTCAATGACAGACGGTTTCATTTCATCAAAGATTTTATTTGAGAGAGAGAATGAAATTGGCTTTAACGTCCACTCGACACAAACTATGTCATTTTGGGACTAACATAGGGTTTTATTTTATTTCAATAATTCGCTTGCGCGTAGGGGCCTTTAGAAAGTGGGAGAAAACCCATGAGGTTGGACAGGCGACCCTACTGCTTGTCACGTACAACCGGGGATTCGAAACCACGCCAGCTGACTCAATGACAGGCCTTATGATACAGCGCGCACGTGCTAACCATCGGGCCACCCAACCCCCCGTTTTATTTGAAAGCAGAGTGTGATCTGAAAAGTTTATATGGAATTCGTCATGTTAATTCTAAAATCCACAGGAAAAATATATATTTATAAGAAAAAAACGGGAATTCTTTGAATTTGAATCATATCCCCAAAACATAGCCACATTACCTAACAACATGGAGGTCGCAAGGATGACGTAACCACGAATATCCTTCCAGTATAACTTCTCGTTATATTTGATTGTACTCAAAGCCCAGCTTAACCGGACAGTGACCCTGGACCTGACTACAATCGCGGGCCACTTTTGAATGGCACGCATGCGTAACACACACTCAGTCTCTGCCCTCGCGCCGCCAGATCGATTACCGTGAAACTTGCATCTGGAATTTGATTTTTTCTCTTTATGCCGTGAACGGCGGGCCCATGCCTAAGCTGGACTTTGATTGTACTAGATTATTTATTATTAGCTATAAACATTTCAGTGCTCATTTTTTCAATGTTCATTGGTGCAAGTAATTTATTTTACTGGTGTTATCCTGATATAGATAATTAAACATACATTATGGAAGATTAGATAAAGAGCTGGTAGTTCTCACTATAATAGTTAAAAACTAGATGATGTAAAGGGAATTTGATCCATTCTGAACTGAGAATTTGGCGATTACTAAAGTCGGTATGATAAAAAACATAGTCTTGATTATCCATTTGATGATTAAATCATAAATGAAAGTTGAGCAGCAAATCGGATCCTAATCCAGTAAATATTGCAGGCTAGTGATGACATCAAGAGTTGATTATGGTCTTGTCGTGTTAATTTTAGATAACATTTCAGGCCTAAAGAAAGACCTGCAATAGGCAGATTTAGCTCTTGCATACTGTATGTCGTGATTCCCCCTTGTCAGTGATGTAGGACGGAGGGCCTAGCAAGGACAGCTGTCTAGTCGTTCGGATGGAACAAAAAAGCGTCCCGTGTACACATTGGCGTGCACGTAAAAGATCACATGACAGTTGGATTTCGATATAAGACTAGGCCGTAGTGCCGCTGTCCGGGCAAAATTTTCGTCATAGTACACTGTATGGCGTATGCCCGTCTTCATTAGCCCAATTCGGAGCAGAACAGTAGGACGTTAAACTCCATTTCATTTTGTTTCGTTTTATTTCATAATATCTGTTTAACTGATGTGCGAGCTGATTAACATGTGTTCAACATATATAGTAGATGTTTTTTCTTGTTGTTTGTATTATAGTTTATTGCCCTGTCCAGTTACCAAACGCCACTAAAAGAAAGATTATTCTCAACTCGTGAACATTTCGATATCCATAATTGGTTACCATATATCTGTCGTCTGTCTCTCTCTTGTTTAAAGTACACGTATCTCTCCTGGAAGTTAGGTACCAGACAACTGTCTTATAGAAAGACCACAACTTTAAATGCTATTGCATTTCAAATGATTTTGAATTTATCCTGATATTACATGTATATATATGTCTTTGTAGCTTAGGAGGAACTTATGGAAGATTAGCTTTTTTGCAAACTAAATAAGTTGCCTCATTAAATATTTTTTTTTATTACTTAACGTGAATTTGATCAGTACAACCTTAAAGTTCACATATAAGTAAATTCAATCATATATCTAAATTCAATCATATAGCATACAATAACAGACAGCTTTCCCGGATAGCACCGGTAATGGCTTTTCTTATATCGGATTCTAACAGCTAAGGGACCCTTTACGTACACACTAATATGTACACCAATGCCAAGGTGGGACCACGCCAGAACATCCCGATGGAATTTTGCGGCAAACGCAAGGATAGAACACAGGACGTTCAGGTTATCGCGCGAACGCCATACTCACTTAACAATTCAACCTAGTTTATTTAGTTAGTATTGGGAAAAGTAGGCTGTATTGGGTAAAATTGGATAAAATATTCTCTATTCTGATATATTCAATATACATAATAATGTATTATTATTTTAGGGACTATCAAGGGTATGCTAGACAACACGTCATAGCAAAGAAAGATAACTCTGATTGGATTGATGTCCAATGGCCGCCAACACCCACAAGGCAACAGAATGGGGGAGTACAAGCGCGATCTAATGATTTAATTCTTTTACAGACATGTACAATATGTAAGACTTGTGGCTTTATCGTATCGAATCTAGACCTCTTTAATTATAACCCTAAGAGTTCGGGATTGTACTTCGTATTCGCACGATGCATCTGTATAATAAAGGAAATGGGGTCAGGTCCGTTAGTAGGGTGCGAAGCTTCCTCCCACCCTTCAGAAAGTTTCGCCCCCCCCCCCCGTGAAATAATTGTCGACCTAACAAACAATAGATCTACATTGTCCGTCAATTTTACAGCACTCCCTGAGAACACTTCCTGCCCTCCTCGTTGCCCTGTGCTAATCACGACCGTGAAAAGGGTTTAACGTCGTACTGATCTGCACCGACTTGGCTAATAAAGACATGAATGAAACTTTGCCCGGGCAGCGGCACTATCGCCTACTCTTATATCGAATTCCAACTGCCAAGGGATCTTTTACGTGCATTCCAATGTATACACGGGACCTCGGTTTTTCGTCTCATCCGAAGGACTAGACAGCTGTCCTTGTCAGGCCCTCCGTCCTGCATCACTGAAGAGGGGGAACCACGCCGGAAAATCTGGATGAACTTGCTCGGCCAATGCAGGGATCGACCACCAGGCTAGCGAGCCAGCGTCTTACCCACTTAGCCACGTGATCCCCCCTCTTATTTCGAATTCCAACTGTTAAGGGGTTCTTTTTTAGGTTCACCCTAATATTTACATTTGCGTCCCAACCGAACACTGTTTCTTGTCAGATCCTCAGCCTCCGAACTGCACCACACGGGGAAACCTTGAGAACAATTTATCGGCCAACAACGGGCGCAAACCAAAGACCTAATGGTAAGCAAAGCATAGTCTTACCCGTTGAGCCACCGCGGTCCCTAACTGTAAAAAAATATCGTAAACAGCCTGTCAGAATTGTCAACTCTTTAATAAGCGCGAAGCTCTTTATCAATAAACCAACTTTGTGATGAATGCATACTCCTGGTGAACACGGAATCCTGTTGGAGAGAGAGAGAGAGAGAGAGGGGGGGGGGGGGGGTGGCATCCACTCTACACAATCTAGGTCATTTAGGAACTAACATATGGTTCAATTTTATTTCAATAATTCACTTGCTCCTTGGGGTCTTTGGTTGTTAGGAGAACTGAAGGAACCGAAGACAACCCACGAGATGGGACAAGCGATCCTACTCGTTGTCACGTACAGGTGGGGATTCGAAACCACGACACTAGATTCAGTGACAGACCTTATGTTGTATCGCGCGCACGCCGGACCATTCAACCACTTACCCCCTCAGTTTATAAAGGAGAGCAAACCAATTTAAACATCTATCAAAAATAACTATAGATGTTCATCTCTTGTAAAAGATTTACTCGGTAAATACTGAAAACATTTACGACAAACATTTCGTTACAAGATTGTGAGACGAATTCAAATATGTGAATATCGTACAATAATTAGTCGTGGATAATAATTCGAGAAGTATATTTATGTGACTAATTACAATCACAGTTACAATTTGTTGGATTACTTGTCAAACACGATATTTGTAGATTCAGTTTCTGTCGTTCCAATCGAATCCGCTCTATGTCTTCAAGTAGCCATCTCTTCTTGACATCGTCAGTGGTTTCATCTAGAACAGAAACAAAACATAAACTCACCTTAATAATCAAACTTATAGTAAATATATGAAAGGAAATAGGGTTTAACGTCCACCTGTTCTGTCCTGAGCGGGCTAATGAAGACGGAAACACGCCATACAGTGTGCCACGAGAACAATTGTTGCGCTACGGCCTACGTGTATGTCGAATTCCAACTGTCACGAAACATTTTACGTACACACCAATATGTGCAATGCACGAAAAACTGAGGTCCCGTGTACACATTGGCATGCACGTAAAAGATCCCTTGACAGTTGGAATTCGATATAGGAGTAGGCCGTAGTTCCGCTGTCCGGGCAAAATTTCCCTCATAGCACACTGTATGGCGTATGCCTGTCTTCATTAGCCCAGTTATGAGCAGAACAGTAGGACGTTAAACCCCATTTCATTCCATTCATTTAAAGTTTGTATTGTATCTAGTCTACTTACCTATCTTTACAATTTGTATTGTCGATATCAGATAAACTGGTTGACTATTTCTAGCTATAACTCTAATATAATATGATGTATCAGCTTGTAGATTCTTTATACAATAATCAGGTTTATATTATGGTAGAGGTGTAGATTTTTAATTTAAGTAAATTAGCATGAACAGCGTGGACAGTAAAACTGACCGATGGCTCTAAAGAGCTAAATTAGAATAATAATGAAAACCATAATAACTCATTAAAACATATTTTCCGATTAGATCTTTAAGCGAATTCTGCTAAAAATCGGGTTTGTAATTATCAACTTACAATGTATTATAACCACTAGTTTCTTAGAGTGTAGTGAATCATGGTGTATCTGTGTATTCGTAACCTGACAGGTGTAATAACCAGCTTTATGCCTGTCGATGGTGTTCAGTGAGAGAAGTCCAGTAGATGATATTATGGTACCACTAGCATTAAATCCTTTATACCAGTTTATATTACACGGTGGATTACAGTCAGCTGAACAGGTTACAGATCTACTTTCATTTTCTATCACTGTTATACTAGAATTGGTTGGTGTAAATCTGATATTCTCTGGTCCATCTGTTAAAAAACAAAAAGCATAAATTATGATTTGCCTACCACAATTGAATTTCATATTTTTATGTAGACGTACCTGTGCCTGTACACGTTTGTCGATACGCTTAATGTCATAATTGTTATCTGGCTTTCAGAAAGCTTAGCATATACATTTATATCTCTGATGCGATAGATTTTGACATCGAACCATAGATTATGGACAATCCAGTTGTTAAACTTATTTGATTTTGACGAAACTTACAATATAATTTTAATGCACGAACATAGCATTAAAACTACCACCCCCACTTATACATACAGTGACAAATCATATATTTCATATACCATGGGTGTGGTCCCTCTATGTTATGTATAAACATATATCGGACGAGTTTGATTGTGGTACGTACTGAAGGTTAAATTCCGGGATTATGGCCAACTTTACGTCAATTGTTGAACAAAGTTTGTCTAATGTACCTGTATTCATTAGCCCAGTTGGAGCAGAACAGTGGGCGTTAAGCCCTTTCCGTCAAAACTCTTTGTATGGAAATATAAGGGAAATGAAATGGGGTTTAGCCTCCTACTGTTCTGTTCCGACAGTGTGCTATGAGGGAAATTTTAGCCGGGCAGCTGCACTATTGCCTACTCTTATATCGAATTCCAACTGTCAAGGGATCTTTCACGTGCATGCCGATGTGTACATCTGAACGACTATACTATGTTGCCACTTGCCATGCCCTGTTCTTCACCTCTGACAAGGGAAAACCACACCAAAAAATCCCGATGAAGTTGCTAGGCCAACGCAGGGATCGATCATGGGACGTCCAGGCTATCGAGCGTACTGAGCTACTGTGGTGCCTTAAATATACGGGAAGTCCTCATGTATGGCATCCATAATGAATATAATGAAAAACCACGAATAGTTAACAGTGTACACAGACATACAACTTTAGATGTTATTAATAAAACAAGCCAACAGTGAGGCTGATGTCCCCCGCCAAAATCTCAAAATAAATAGATGACACGTATTAATTAATTGCACATTTATCTTTTTCAAACTGGTTATCTATACTTAGTCTAAGCATAAAATGTTCACAATAAAACTCAGTCAAGGTTTTGGAGTACCTGCTAGTGACATTATACACTAAGTTTCATCACTTTCCATCAGTTAGAATCAAAACTATCTTGTCCCAAAGCATCAATGTCTTGATCAATCAAATTAATTATCACTACTTAGCCTACGCAGAAAATTCTCATCATCGAACTTATTCATTGTATTGATATAAGGGATCTATACTAGACGTTTCATCGTTCACACAATTAGAACCAAAGTTATCGTGTTCCAGGGTTACAACCAATCAAATAGATTATCTCTGCTTATAGCTTAAGTGGAAAATGCGCATGGTTGGACTCTGATCCAAAAAGTGGGACGGGCAAACAGACAGACCCTGTTTAATACTCCCCTGCTTTCTTGGAAAGGCGGTGGACAATAAAACTCGGCCTGTTCTAATAACTGTTGTTACGAAAATTTTCAGTAACAGAGACAATCAGTATTAGGTCTATCTTGGACATTTTTTTTCTTCATCTTACTGAATTATATACCCCATGAAATCTAATGACGTTGCATTTTCTGCCGATGTGCCATGGTCTTAAAGTAGTTTAACCTCGCTATAGAAACGGACTCCGAAAAGCCCCCACGGAGCCATTTTATTGTCTGATCTTAATTCGTATAAAACAAATAATTACGAAAACTAAATTGATTTTACACCTAAAAAAGCAAACAAAATCGAGATGTAACCTCCCGGCTGCTAGAAAAGCAACCTTTTCAATTTGACTTTAGATGTCCAGACACAGAATGTTCGAAATGACTAAATTACTTAAACGTGTTACAATGACGATCAACACGTCTTGAGTCCTAATGATCTCTGCAGGGCCGAGGTTTGTTTTTCTGAAGGCTTTCTTCCCCAGCATAACCGACGTCGAGGACTTTATCTTGCTTATAAAAAGTTTTGGTATGGGGAAAGAAACCTACCCCTGAAGAATAACCCGATACAGTTTTAAAGCAAAACTTTCAGGACAATAACCCCAAAAAAACCCTCTGTATATTCAGACCGCAAGTTATTCCGGGCATAGAATATACCACCCCCAAAGATCAAGGAGATTTACCTTTATAGGTTTATAATGGACAATAACATCCCTTTGAATACCAAACAGGAAGTGTTATCTCTTAAATAAGACACACTCCTCAATCAGGAAGTGGTTATCTATTAATAAACTGATTACTAGTAGTGTATTGTAAACTTTCAGATATCAAGGACTGACAAGAACAGCTGTCTAGTTGTTCGGCTTGTACGAAAAACAGATCCTGTGTACACATTGGCGTGCACGTAAAAGATCAACTGACAGTTGGAATTCGATATAAGGGTAAGCCGTAGTGCCGCTGTCCGGGCAAAATTTCCCTCATAGCACACTGTATGGCGTATGCCCATCTTCATTAGCCCAGTATAGAAGCAGGAAAGTAGGACGTTAAACCCCATTTCATTTCAGATATCTAAAACCGGATATTATTATGTCTCGCGAAAGTTTCAATAGGTTCAATGCCAGTATACTGAGGTATATATCAACTTACAATAAACAAGAAGAGTTACTGGTGGACTAGTGACTCGACGAAAATCCAGGTCTGTACAGGTCCATTCTCCAGCATCAGTTGATTGCACATTGGTTATATTAAGATACAGTGATCTGCGGTTACCATTGATGCAACCACATGTATATCTTGTATCCGTTGATAATGATTGACACGTGGTTAATAATCCTGTACATATATCTCTACCGTCCTTTTTGAACTGTGCCCCTGGAGATATATATCCAGATAACTGACAAGTAAATCTGTAATCATTTCCTCTAATACCATATGATGCTGATCCTGATAAACTGTATGTTTGACCTGTAAAAGACATGTAAATCTATAATCATTTCCGCTAACACCATATGGTGCTGACCCTGATAAACTGTATGTTTGACCTGTAACAGAAGTAAGAGACATGTAAATCTATAATCCCGTCGTCTAACACCATATAGCACTGATCCTGATAAACTGTATGTTCGACCTAAGAAAAGTATTAGAAGAATGTTAACTGTTTATAGTATGAAATTATTGATCTTTGTACATTTAAAATGTAACAGAAGACAGAAGGGAAATGCTAAAACCCTTGTCAAACCATACTTATCGAAGGACAAGATTGCCAGGCAACGCACTTTTCAAAGAATCGGGAACAGTATCAAAGCAAATTTGAAAAAATCAACAGGTGTCGTCGTCTCAAGAACATAAACGATGGAAATAAATTCAAAGTGGACGATAATTTTGACCTGTAGGGCATTCATAAAATCAAAATGATTCATGGTATTATAACCAAACATTTGAATATGACTGGGACACTAATCTCCTACAGTGTAATTAAATGTATTCATTGTTTTAATCTTGATCTTTTATCAACATAAGTATTATTGTATAGTTGTTGAATATCATTAACTAGACTCATTGTTTTTATTTACCATTTAATTAACTATTTAAATTAAGTCACTAGTGGCAACATTTTATAATTGTTTATTGTACAACGAATTGAACTTAAAACTATTAGAGATTAGTATCTTGCAATGCAGAGATCGAACACCAGACCTCCAGACTAGCGAGCCAGCGTCTTACCCACCGTGACCCCAGATTTTTACGAAATTCGAACTCAACCATCCTTAGGGTGTAACGGTGATATATTCAAACGGTGTTTTAAATCGGATAAAAATTATGATCTCTATAGGTCTACAAGCTAAAAACGCGATTTTTCGTACAATCAGGGGCCATAATTCAGGAAGTTACGCGCGAATATCGACAGGAACTGAGATCTTTGGGTTATAAACTTACATTTTAAGTTTCAACATAATCGGATAAAAATTGTGACCTCTATAGGGTCCACAAGCTAAAAACGCGATTTTTCGTACAATCAGGGGCCGTAATCCATGAAGTTACGGTCCGATATATGCCAATATCGAATGGGGCCGATAAACCTATATTTGAAGTTCGTTCAAATCGGATAAAAATTGTGACCTGTAGAGGGTCCACAAACAAATTGTGGACGGACGGACAGACAAACAGGGGCGACGGCCTAATAAGTCCACATGAAAATGTGGGCGTATAATAAAACTGTAAACTAAAATAAAATAACAATAATATTATAAAAGCGTACATCTACTGGTAGATATTTTACTTTCATGTATAGAGCAGATGAAAACTCAAGCGTTTGTGATTATTCAGTATCTATAGACACCAATAGCTTTAACATACACAATACATATTATATAATAAATACAATAAAACAGTTACTACGTTACCTTGTATATTATAAAATTGTAAACCCAGTAAGACAACAAAATACATCAATCTACCCATGGCAGACATTTTACTTTTATCTATCTACCAGGATGTTGAATGATATTTAATACACCAGGACCGGGAATATTTTGATAAAGAGGTCTGTTTGAAAACGATAAACAAGACGACTGATATCGTTGACATGATAAGTGTATCAGTACCAAACGTTACAATCTGAATAAAACACAGATCCTATTTCGTTTCGTTTTTATAGTTCAATATATTTCGTTTTACTTGTCTTTACTACACTAGGATCTTGAAGAGTTGTTATCATTGACGTGTTCTGAATGGTGTGAGGGGTTAGCTAATGAAACTGTCTGTTACGGCGAGCTTTAAGCTTATTTTGCACGGAACTGTGGGTAATCCACTAGTAACATCCATGCTGATTGGTTAATCAAATGTCTGACGTCATAGGGTCAAATGCCGCTCGTATGACCTCTGACGCGACCTATCGCTACAATCGGTCAGATCTTCATGTAGTGTAGGCCATCGAAAGTATAAAAAAACGAAACGAAATATAGATCTATTTTAATCAGATTGCAAAGGTTAACGGACGTTTACCTCGGTCTAAAACACATATTAGACCAAGGTAAACGTCCGTCACCCTTTGCAATATGATTAAAATAGATTTAGACCGAGGTTTTAGACCGAGGTAAACGTCCGTTAACCTTTGCAATCTGATTAAAATAGATCTATATTTCGTTTCGTTTTTTTATATATGGATGTATTTAACGTGATTTACATTTAATTTTTAAAGTTTCTTGTAATTTCTAATCGGTGAAACGAACGAAATTCGACTGTGTCTTCTTTTTATTATTTTTTTTGTGGTTTGTAAATCAGCTAATTTTATTACTTCATAATTGTCTTATGATAAATTTTCATGTTTTTCTCAGTTCATTACAAATGCCACTCGAACTATAGAGTAATCGACACCGTGTACTGATTTTCAATGCCCATTTTCTCTTAAGATCCTATATCTTCACGGTAAGATAATAACGTACATATTGATTGAAATAGACCAATATTGAATTCTTATTAGTGTTTTTGATTTCAGATATGGATAATATTGTGTTAGGTCGAGTATTAGCTCCTTTAATAATGGTTTATTGAGTTAAAAGTTTAGTTACTTTAATGCATGTATGAATATCTTTATGCACGAGTTATGCTCTGCAAAAGGTCGTTCTATATGTCACTGCAAGTGTCGGGTGTACTTGTGACTTAAAATCACATTAATGATGTGTACTAGAAGTTGGTAGCATGCTTTAGTCAGACCTTTGATGTGACCACCTCAATAACCTATACGGTCTGTGTGGAATGGAACCACAATCGTTCTCTCTGTATAGACACGATTATCCAAGTCAAGACCGAGAGAGAGAAATAGGGGTTTAACATCCACTTGACACAAACTAGGTCATTTCGGGATTAACAAATGGTTCAATTGTATTTCAATAATTCGCGTGCGCGTAGGAATCTTTAGCAGTGGGAGGAAACCGGAGAAAACCAAAGAGGTTGGACAGGCGAACCTTCTCCTTGTCACGTAGAACTGGGGAATCGAAACCCCGCTAGCTGACAGACCGTATTTTATAGCGCGCACGTGCTAACCATTCGGCCATCCACCACCCCCCCCATCCAAGTCAAACGTATGTCTGATAATGACTGGATGCCTACTTAATGCTACGTTCCCACTCTCACAATTCGCGCTACGATTGAAATGGTGGTTTTAATCGTGAAGTAATCGTGGCGACCCTATCACGTCTTATGGTGACACAATCGGTTGTTTAAATAGATCAATCAATTACGGACTCAAGCCGAAGAGTCTGTGGGTATACCATCTTTTGAATCCCAGCCTCTAAGCCGAGGCGGCTCAACGCCCATTTAGGATCGCCAATGATGTCTAAAGCATATCGAAACGTATCTGCATGTACCAAATCGTGAACTCAATACGGACAGGCCTATCGCACCGGATCGCACGGCAGTTCCAACCTTGCATAAGACACCAATTCATTGATCTCGATTACACAAATATAATTTTGAAGCGGACGCCTAAACCCGAGTGATAATTGACTTATCTGAATCATATATGGTGATGGGCGTGACTACACCAACGACAATGGGTTTTGTTTATTTCCAAAAGGTGATGAGCATGGCTACATTTGCGACAATAAGTCTGGGTTATTTCCAAAATCAAATGGTGATGGGCGTGGCTATATCTGCGACAATTGGTTTGGTTTCTGTCTAAAATCAAATGGTGATGGGCGTAGGCACATCTGCTGAAGTACCTTATTAACTGCAATGTACCCGGAAGGACGCGGTTGTGAAAATTCTTAAACATAGCTTTAACCCACATTATGCTACTTTAAGAGGGAGACGGATGACATCACGTGCCTTGTACGCGGGCTGCAGGATGCTACTCCACATATACTGCCCTTCAGTGTTTCAGACCAAGTGGCGCTATGCTGTTGAGACACTTACCTTTTGCAGCAAGGGCCGGTAATTCAGTGAATATTAACAACGGCGGCAAGTGCTAGAGCTTAAATTCGATGGCCTAAAACATTCGCGGTGTCATGCTGGTTAATTTGATAGGACATATGTCGGACGGAGCGAGACGACGAAGCGCGATTCGCCCGGTGGCCTAAAACATTCACTAGAATATGCTGGTTAATGTGATATCACATATGTGGGGGTTGGGCGCGGCGAACATACATACAGAAATCGTTGAATTTATTTATATAGACTTTTGCTATAGCGAGTGATACACAAGGAAGTATATCACATATTAGTAGACGATATGTTACGACTCGATATCAAACAAGGAAGGTTTTATTTAAACATTTGATATGGATCATTTTCTACACATTCATTCCCCCCCCCCCCGTAATATAAATTCTTACAGATTCGGTTACTCTTGTATTCATTCAACTATGAGTCATACACTTTTTTCACCAATTGGTGTAGTTCTTAACATATTTGAGGCATTATGTTTTTAGGCTAACCACCCAGTGATTGTGATGTAGCCCAGTTTACGTATAAAATGTCAATGATCTAATCGTTGAAGTTAAAGTATCCGACCTCTGTAAACATAATTATTTACTTTGTCAACTGTGACTCAATTGTTATCGGGAAATTGGATCACATCTCAAATTAGTTGCTTAAAGACTTGACAAAGTACACCGGGATAATTTAACTCTTATTACTGGTGGAGCTGTCGAATGGGCGTCGTGTTTTTTGGTTAATTAATGATATAGTTATGTATATCGACGTTTAGTTGCATTAAGATGTTGGTATCGCAAACATCTTCTTTTCAAAATAAATCAAGAACGCACATCGACACCTGACCAATACCTTGCAAAGGACTATTATAAATATATTGACTTTTATGTAGGCTAATTTATGTTTTAAAGAAGCAATATTTCTACCAAAAGCAGGTGTGTTTTCAGTAACACTACGAAGAGTGATGGGCGAATATACACTGATACATACATATACACTTTGATTTTATTTATATAGATAACAAAGATACACAATGGACGACGAGTACAAGTACCAGAGGTTAAACGGTTAAAATTACTAAACTGACATGCATATTCAACAATTGGATTAAAAGCGGATTTAGACAACAAATTATTTGGTCTTGCATAAAATTTTTACCGCTTTAACTGATGTATTAGTAGCTGTCCTATACATAAAGGGGTGGGGGGAGCTCACCGACTGATCAACTATATAGATCGCAAGATCTGTCCCTGTGTCTAGTAACGTGCTTTCGACAAATGACAGTGTGGACTGTCCAACCTCATGGGTTTTGTCCGAGTCTTCCGGTTTCCTCCCATGGGCGAATTATTAAAATTTAATTGAACCATATATAGTCTCAACATGACAGTTTGTGCTAATTTGGTTCTCATTATATAGGTGTTTTGGTAATGTTGTTAATGCATTGCTAAGGTGTTTATAAGTGTTTTGGGACGGTTGTTAATGTATTGCTGGTGTTTATATAAGTGTGTTGGTAAGGTTGCTAATGTACTGCTAAGATGTTTATAAGGGGGTTGGTAAGGGTATTAATGTACTGCTAAAGTTTTTATAAGTGTGTGATGTTGGTGCTGCTAATGATTTAATATGTCTTGGCTTTTGTTTGGCTACGTTTGTTGTCAGTTTGGTATACTGATGTTCCTGAGTTGATGATACCAAAACTGTTTGATCACACTCGACCTGATGTTGTTCACTTAGAAGTGGACAAGGCATGTTATGTGATACTTCAGAATCAACCACATCGTTGACGGCGATATAAGCTTCCCGAATTCTGGTATTGTTTGTAGCATTGCTACTTGTAGCTTCAGAATCAACAATATCGCACATAGACGTATACGTATCTCGAGTACTAGAATCAACTTTATCGTACACACACGTGTAGTCATCACGATTAGTTATGTTTGCATCCGTCACAAAGCACTGTCCGGGATTTTTCCCACTGTTATTTGTAGTTGGCGAATCGATCACGTCGAAGACGGACATTGGCAAATTAGGGGTACATGCATTTATATTTGAAGTTCCAGAATCGGCTTTTCCCATGACCAGAAATGCATTATTGTCAAAGTTAGGAACATCTGGTGACGGTGACACGGATTCAATTGTATCATAAATTGTTGACATCACCCTCTCGTATTTAATTTTATTTTGTGAATTAGTGAAACTGTTTTGTTCACCTAAATGATTCAAGTGTGGAGGTATTGGTTCTTCTGGTTTGATTGTATCGTAAAATGATATTTCCTTGCTTTCATCTTTATTCTGAGTTATTGTGTTTGTAGGAAAGTTTGAGTCCCTAGAAGTCTGCAAACACGCCGAATTGGGAATGCCTGATATGCCTATATCAACCTTATTATTGGCACTCAGCTTTGCCGGCGTCTTGGTGAATCGGGGCCGATCATTTCTCCTGCTGTCCAAATTTCTGATAAAATGATCTATGTGGGGGGTTTCTAATTCTTCATAAATTGCTTCTTGCCTTGACGTTCGAGAGACGCGGTTGTCAGGTTGGGAGGGGAGAATTACGCTGAATATCGAAGATGAAGAAAGGTTGGCCCGTCTTTCAGGAGAGGTAACGTGTGTAACATC